TGCGGGTGATTGTAGCCCTTGAGATCGAAATAAATGTTCTTTGTGGCCACGACGGTCGCATCTGGAACATTTATGACGCTTAAAACAGCAATAACGAGCAAAACGCCATTCACTGCAATGCCAGCCGCTTGTGATAGGCTTGCTCTGTTTTCGATCGCGCTTTTTATCGGATTTCTTTGACACACTGGAGTTTATTGCGTGTACACAGCTGCTTGAAGTGATCATAGTCGTATCGTGCTTCAGATTGGTGAGGCGTTGGCATTTGGTGGTAAGATTTTGCAACATCATTCCAGCACCCTGCTCAATTCTGTGAAGCTACTGGGTTTCGACGTCTTCATCTTGGGACGACTGGAGGTATACACAACTTCCCCCGTTTCCGCTCAAATCCTGTTTCTCGTCTACCATTCTGTTGCTTTTGCATACGTCAGGTTGCCTACTGTAAACATTGTCTTTTTACTGTCGCCCGTTTTTCTAACGTTAATTTGATGGGGTTATCTGGCTTTTTCGTTAATAGCCTGTTCCAGCAAGTAATAGGGTTCCACGCAGGCCGGATTCAATCATGTTACTTACGGGACTTGCTGACTTCAATCACGCGCACGAAGTATGGCATTATCCCTCAACTTCGGCAGTTTACTGGATTACAGGTCAACGTAGCGGAAAATCTGCTGCAACCGCGACCACTGACGTATGTTGTTCGTTGAGCCTGGGACAATGTTTCGGGTGTGGGATGTGGATAGCGAGGAAAAGACGGTATAGTGGAGTTCGCAACACAAATAGTTTTCGGGTACCGGCAGACGAGGGTGTGGCTGTAATGCATACCGGTGTAGCGGGAGCATGTTATGTTATGTGCCATCCTCGGTAAACACTAACGACCTCAAGTCAGTCATCCACCTGTCAACTTCACACTGTCATGTACACTATCATACCACTTCCAGCCACCTTTTTCCTGGTTGCTGCTTTTCGAGATATCCATGCGGGCAGTTTCGTTGTATGTCATCCATGCTACTGTGGAGGTTCCACAAATCCATTTCTATGCAGCTCCATGGTCTTCTCGATTTGAGTTCTCACTACTCGGTTGTTCAGCACAGATTGAGAGTACCTCTACGACCTTCAAGTGTTGATCATAAATGCAATTCAGTTTTGGATTTGTACATTTTCATTCCGTCTCCAACAATAGTCATAACTCCGTTCCTTCAAACCCCACTTACAGCAAAGCTGGTCCCACGCGACCAAACGACAACGCGAGCATCTTATCGATTTGATCTGTCGACTGGCAGAGGAGGATCGTGATGGTCTGATGGCTGCAAAAGTGTTGAATTTGCTGTGGGAATTAGCAGTCGATGCGGACTCATCTCCTGACATTAGTAGTTTTGCCCTGAAAGCTCATGCGAAGATACTGGATCATAATATATCGGTGAGTTATCTACTCAGAGTTTAATCACTCTTCCATCCTTGCTTTCTTCTCTTGCACTTCTTTGTGTCCGTTGCTTTATGCCCTTCTAGTTTTCCCCGTCACTGCGTTCATGATAGAGGAATGCACACCCACAACAACTTTCGGATTGAATAATAAATATGCTGCTGGATCGATGGTTTGCTTGAGCATCATCATCTAACCGGCTGATCCATCCAGTCTGACGGTGAATCGCACTCGCATCGTTTCAGATCACAACAGTCTGCCATGTGTTGTTTACACCACATGATCACTGCTAATCCTTGTTTGTGGTCACCTTTTACTGACTCTACCTGATTTTCACCTGCTGCAGCGGTTGATAGTGCCTCGACGTAAATATGCGCACTTGTCACTGCACGTGGTTTCATTCTTGTTTTTAGCTTTACACATTACGTTTTTTCTGCGTGAAAAGCGTTCATCGATTTGTTGTTTCAAAAGCTTGAAGGTCTTCGAGATTTGGAACGCCCCCGCTTTTCAGTGTTATACCGGTTGGTTTCGGTGACTCTTCAGGTTTTTCAGATGAAAGTTGTAGGATTCAGCTCTTTTTCACTGCAATCTAGTTACGGGACGGATTCTTTTCATTTCAGCAGATCACTATACTATTCCAGTACAGGTTTCTCCACTGAACCTCGGTTCTTCCAGATCGAGGCACCACGAAGCACCACTCTGAAAGGTTACCGAACATCGAGTTGCACGTAGTTATGTGTGGTAGGAGAGATTACCACGAACAGATTACCAGAGGGTGACCGAATCCGCATATTTGCGGATGAGTTATGCTTGTGTAACCCGGAGGCACGTTCAAAACTGGTAGGCGAATGGGACGCTGTTGTGGATATGCGGCTCTTGTTGTTGTCCGTTACTCGTGATACCTTTCGTTGATGTATATCGGAGATACAGCAGCCCGTGGTTTCATTTACTGGAACGGTAGATTGGGTACAGGTGCAATACTCTTGCGTTTCGTCCTTGGCAAAGCGCTGGACCACATTAGACTCAATATGTTTACTCATGCACGGCATTTTTGAAACTAGCGCTGTAGTTTACTCAGGTTTGCCCTTATTCTGAATCATTACCTTGATAATATTGTGTATTTCGGCAGAGTGTCTTAGTGTATTTGGAGCACCAAATGCCCACCTACACCATCAAATGACCCACATACTGATGTTGCTATTTTCAGCTATCTTATTCCACATTCTGTGTTCCACCTTACAGGAAGTTGGTTCCAATATTCGGTCTAAATGGATCACTCGACTAATCGGAATATTGAAAGGGGGACCACGTGAACCTCACCTACTACCAGCAATCCGTCAGTTCACTGAGATATTGAATCTCATCCCTGCGGTACGTCACAGTCCCTCGTTTTTCACTTGCACCACATTGTCCCCTCTCCTGCCCCGGTGACATCACTTCTTACCGACAACTGCACAGGGTACTAGTACTCCTTCTTCCGTTTATTTGGTTAGCCTGACGAAAAAAACGCATCTTCGGATTACACCTACACGGTAACCTGGTAGTCCGGTTGCTAGTCTACTAACGGAAGACACAGTCCTGGTTTTTCGATTGCTTTTGTCTAGGCTTAGGCATCCCAGGTCACGCACAACCATGAATTGCGTACTCTCGAATAAGCTGATGCCATATCCGCTGTTGCATAGTGTCATCCGCTGGGTCGCCTTATTTGCCGTACTAACCAGGATGATTGAGCGTCTCCCTCCTTTCTCTCTCTCTCTCTCTCTCTCTCACACACACACATATAAATGTTCGTTCCTTTCCCTTGCTGGCGCTCTCCGTAAACTTTTAGGACCTTGGGGACGGATAAATCTTCTTACTGACCAGTTGCGGTAAGCTGCATTGTCTACGGTTAACTCGGCGATCATGACTGTGGACAGTTCGCAATCGCCTTTCAAACCCAGACACTCAGTTCACTCAGCAGCCTCGAACGTCCACAGCCTGAAAGAAACTGGACAACAGGCTGTTCTTATGTTTTCGCTAAACTCTTATCCTATTGTTGTGTCCTGTCTGTCTCAAACATGGATTCAACACAAGTGTGTTTGTTGAACTGACCTCCCCACCGATTTCCTCTCGCTTCTGGTTGTGCACCTCTGGTCCAGAAGCAGCTAACGTTGATTCTGCTGAGGTTGATATTGTTTAAGCCTCCGAACTGAGGGGCCTCTGGTTGAATGGTTGCTCGCTTATAACTGCCTACTTGCGGCTCGTTTGGCAACGTCTCTGGGAGTATCTCGCAAACGTGCCGATAATTGCTGTCTGTTTACCGTGTCTGCTTACATCTCGAAGACAGTTTTTACGACACTTTGAGTGCTGTGTTGAGGCGGGCTAAGAGCCCAAATATTTTTGTGTTTGTCGATGACATGAATGCTCAAGTAGTTATACTTGCAGCTGCGGAGGCTCAGATGGGTGATCCTATCGGACCAGAATAGAGACGCACGGCCAACGGCGAACACCTACTTCAGTTACGTGCTAACCACAGACTGTTTCTTTACAGTACTAACTTATGAAGTAACCGAAGCCGTCTGACCAAATGGTGCCACTCCAGTTGATAGCTCTAACACACTCTCACCTGTTCTGTGTAATCATCAAGGTGAAATCTTCAATCAGTGCTTGTTTAACTTGTTTGCCTCTACCTGGGTCAAAGGAGACGTCTCAGCCAATTGGAATGGGTCGATACTATCAGACTACAGCGCGAGCTGTATTATTGTACGACTGTGAAATATGGCCATTCCGGATGGAGGGTCCTTGGATCTTTGACCACCGATATTTCAGAGCTGTAGCTGGAATCGGCTGGAACTAGCGGATTTGCAACTAGGTGATTAGAGAACGCGTCTTTGGTGAAGCATTCAAGAATGCACCCAGCTTTGCCAAATAAGGTGGGTTGGCTCAGCCACCTTAACTACAACATAATTCAAGTTACTTAGGTCTTATTGCTTGACAGACACGAGGTTCTTTTCTTTTGGCTCCAACTTATTTGACTTAACTGTCTTTGGATTGTATGTCAGCCTCAAACGAGGACAACTCCGTGGTTAGATGCACTTTCTTCAATTTGTTTTTCGTCCGGCTGGGTTACTTTAGCCAGAAAATTCTTGCAAGATGGATTTTAATCCACCGGATTTTAATGGCTTGATTGATTGGCACTGACGTGCAGTGGCTCCAGGTGCTACAGCTTCATTCACCGAGGTTAAGGGGATGATAGAATTAGAGTCACGAGTCGGAGATGATGACCCAAACAGTTTATCAATTTCAAGTGGTTCTGTTTTACTTTTATCGTAGGGAGTGAGAGGTGATGATGACTTTGTTGGAAAACCCTCTATTTTCTGCGTAATGCAGCCATATCTAACTAACCATTGGTTTGTCTCTTCCCGGGAAAACGGTACTTGCCAACGAGATCGGGTTGATCTACGAGGGCTTTCATCCTTTATTATCAACTCACGAACTGACCGCCTCTGGGTCATCTTCTTCCGATATTAGGCTTGGTGGAGAGGTTTGTGCAAAGCAAACGACCTTCTGTCATTCGAAGCACATGGCCCACGCAGCGTGGTCTGCTCAATGCAACCAGCTGATGTATAATTTTGCCCACTTTCCTACTCGATTTCCGGCTTTTTATAGTTTGGAAGCTTATCACGTAATTTTTTCTACACGCTAGTTGAATAACTATGAGTCTGACCCGTTCAAAATTATAACACTGACGGTTTCTTGTTGAATGAACACAAATCAGTGATGTGACAGTTGCGCATAGCCGTGTGCAACAACTTCGTTTTGTTGTGTGCTTTTTCAAATGGAGCAGCGTTTAATTTAATGCACTAGATTAGAGGTTTTTGGTGTTTATCCCAACTTAAATAGCATATTCCGTGTGACCGGAAACACGGCAGAACTGCATCACATACTGGCATCATAATTCGATGTTCATGTATCAGACTTTTGGAGGCAATCAGCTGACCAGTCTCGTGGTCCAATGGGGAGCGCGAATCTTATGTTGAAAACCAATACACTTGAGCTACTCGTCTAAGATAGTGAATACCCCGATTCTCTGGGTCATTGGACGATATCTGAAGTATTTTAAACGTGTTCATCTATGCTTTAGGCTTCCACTTGAAATGTACACACGCTTTTAAGTGGGTTTAGCGGCCAATTTGAAGTCTTGGTGCCTCTCGAAAGATTAACTCTAGTCACAGAGATCTTATTTATTTTTGTGTGTTTGGTTGGTTGCTCCCATTCGGTTGTGATTCCTTGATATACCGAATAAAATGGGTGGTAGAATAATTATTCACCTCCGAAGCGTACTGTGCTTTATCATACCTCGATATCCTTTGTGTTACCATATAGATCAAATGACATTGGTGAATGTCACAGGTGATTTTTCTAGAGGGCTGGCTGCTCAGCTTTTTGAAGTAGGACAGCTGCATACTTACAGAATGGTTTACACCAATACATGTTTTTTTCAGGATTTTTTCAGCACTTGCGAGGATATTTTACCAATAGATTAAAAGGCCTATCTCTTTCTATCTTTCAGAAACAATACTCATCTCATACATCCTATCTCGCCCGAATGAAAACCATACAAGAGCTGAACGCCAGACACAGTTTATTAGAATCAATTGTAAACAATGTGGTCGTTTGCATGATGACCATTCGGGAGCAGCGTATCGCGAATGCGGATGCCGGTAAGTGATCTCGCGAACGCCACTAGTTGTCGAAAGCTTGAGACAGAATCAACCAACTGATGAGCATTTTCAATATGGCCTGGTATGACTAAGCTTTTAGGAGTCTGTCCAGATTACCTGTTTGTCTTACAAGCTGGTGATTATCAATTCTTCCGTGAGTATTGGTGCGCAGGTCAATCTTACTATTCAAAGTATTCGTATTACCTGAATGAATTGACTGATGGTTAGATCACGAATCGCAGCCCCATCAACAATCTGTCTCCGGTGTTTCGACATTTCCTCGCTTCCCAAAGCCTCCTAACATTCTAGTTATTTTCAGTGTGGTTACTAAGCCTATCTTGTGAATGTATTCGCCTTGACATCCAGAATAGGACATTCCCAAACACTGAAAGTACCTTTTTTATACGTTGACTCGCTTTTAAACATTTTGACTGCTTGTCGCATTATTGCAACGTGCCAAGTGTGTGTTAACCAACTTAAGGACAAATGGTACACTTCAGGATAGATTGTATTCCCAATGATCAGATTTGTTTCCTTAAACCAAGTTTCCTATTAAGACTACAACTTGCGCTGTGGTTCCCTGATTTGATTCAACCCTACACATCACAATACAACAGAATCTTGATATTTTAGAATCTGCTGGATTTCCTCGTATGCCTTCCGTACTATGGCGAACACCTAGCCCAGTCTAGGCATTCTCGTCTGACCATGGTGAATCTCACTGGTTGTAGTGTCTCAAGAGCCTCTGAGTACTGTAATCCCGTTGGGCGAACTGTCTTCACACTTTTTACTCCTCTTACATCGGTGAATTCTCAGAACAATCCTTACCTCGATGGGAACCTGCAAGTTGCCTTCCAACAGTAGTATCAGTTCCCTTCTGTTTGAAATGGACCAGCATATTGCTAGATGGATTCGGAATAATGGACCACCGTTTTATATTAAAACAACGAATACGGCAACAATTCTGTCTATCTACCCCCCATATAGGCTTGTGGACTAACCGTGTCGCTATTTCCATGTCACTTTTAGCAGATGCAGATGTGTCTAGAACTCCTATCAGGCGGATATCACTACAAGTCGAAGTACGAGAGCTGCTCGAGCTTGTTCGATTCTTGTTGTTCGAAGGATCGTTCATATTCCCCATCGACTGGATGATTCGAATCTGGCGGGGAATGCTGCTCCGATCACCTGAAGAAGACCCTCAAACCACTGTCACTCCTGAGGATCGTGAACTCTGTTATCAGTGGTTTGGATCGCTCCCTCCTGCAACTATTCCAGCGAAAAATTATGGAATATTTTTTGATGAATGCATCTTACGTGTGGATCCCAGTCATTTGACCGCTTCCGGTATGATGTAAGTAGACTAATCCTAGTAGTTTGTTATTAGATGGAAGTTAGTTTCCTGCCTGCCGATCGTTGTAGTCAAATCGCGGGATCTTTTGTGGCAGAAATCTTACATACAATAAACATCTCGACGTTAGCTAGGCTGACTTGGTGAGTGGGCCGCGTGGAATTAGGATGCCGTTTTGCAACCTTGGGGTCGAATGCTTTACAGAATTAATTCAAGATGATACAGGAACTCAGGCCATTTAGCAGAACGTGTCTAGGTTCGTTATGCTAGCAGAAGCGTGGCCTCCGGGCTTCCTACGAGAAGCCGGTGCATTGTATTTTTTTATGGCCTTGTTCATTTCTTATGGACTTATGTCGACCCACTGTGCATCTCATTCAATCATTCCTGTGTGCAAGGTGAGTAAGCAGTATAACAAATCCACCGTTTTGTTGTACGGCTGAGAATTGGCCTGTTCGGGAAGCGGAACTGAGACGTCTCCGAACCACAGTTCGTCTAAATTAGTGTCTTGAATGCGTAACGAGGCTAGTGTTCGCTTGTGTTATGGGGATTTCCGTTGAAGAATAAGTCCAGCACCAGAAGCTGCGTTGCACATGCTCAACCACCATTTGTTGAAGGAAGTGCTGTTTTCCGTGCCCAAATCAGAGTTACGGAAGCAAAGAAGTGACCAGCCCCTGACCTGAAAGAGGGGCGTGGAATGGAAGCCTGGGTGCTGTTGGTGAGGCCCGTGATCCCCACTGCTCCTGGTTGGAGTCACCGCAAGATCTGACTTCTAATTGATGTGAATGGCCTTTTTGTTATCAGTTTCTATCCAGATGGCCTTAATGATTGTCTGGAGGTGTATGCACCTCATAATGGTTGTGGTAGGCTAGTCCCTCCACCATCCACTTTTATTTTATTTTTTCCAAAATATGGCAATGAATTCATAGTCATATGGCAGCGAAATAGCATTGTTGAACACTGGTGCCATGCTGTCTTTGATGATGGTGATGATGTAAGCCAGTGAAACCAAGCAACCCTAATGTGCAATTAAATACGCTGCCCAAAGAACTGCGACAGGTTTCGTTGGACCAGTCCTCATCCCAGGCTTTCCACAGCGTTTCCAACTTGTAACTTTTGTGTGGTAATTTCTTATGTCACAATAAATTCACCTCGAATAGTCACCTGTCTGTCAGCTCACGACTTGTCTTCCGTGAATTTTCGTGCTTCCAAGCAACTTTCAAGTCGTTATTACAGGGACACAATTCTTGAGACGTCTTTTGTTATTTCTCTTTTTTTCTCTGCTTCTAGAATGTGCCGAAGTTCCCTTCCACTACCATTAATTCTGTTAGGTTGCTCTTGTGCAACGTCCTAGGTAATCAAGCATTCTGAACTTTTCCGTTAGGTAACCATCATTATCAGTTTCATGATCATCGACAGTATGACATAAGTGTTCAATACTAATGCTTCGCTGCCGTGCAACTATGATTTATTTGAAAGGTTTATTGTGAAGAATAAAAGTGGATAGGGAAGGAACTTAGTGCCAGCTTACCAAAATCAATCCGAGCTACCTGCGACTGGATAGGAGTCGATAACAAGAACGCCATTCACATCGATTAGCAGTCAGGTTCTACCGTGTCTCCAAACAGGCGCATTGGCATCTCACGGTCCCCATTCTGGAAGCCTAGTAGCACCGACAACACCCAGATTTTCGTAATCTCTTTCATACCTTTGTTCCAGGTCAAGGAATGTCTACCTCTCTGCTTCCGTCACTCTGAGTTGACACTTTCGTAGGCAAACGATTGTTCGCCATGCGCAACACATGGCCTAACCAACGAAGGTTGTGGTGCAGGGCACATCCTGCAATGGAAGCCCATGCTGCAAACCTGGAAACTCGCCTTCTGCTTGTCTCGTTGCGGATTCTTTGACACTAACCCACACGAAATATGATCCTGAGACAACGTTTGTCAGTTCCGCTTTTCGAACAGACCATGTCTCACAGCCATACAACCGAACAGGCCGCGCCGTAACTTGATACACACGTACCTTGAGACTCAGGACTATACCTCTTTGAGGCCATAGGTGTCTCAAATTAGCAAACTTGACCCGGACCTTGCAAATTCGTGCATTAGCTTCATCCGTCACACCATAATCAGAACTGATACAGCTTCCAAGGTACTTGAAACGCTCCACAAGTTTGTGGGCATCCCCTTGATTGTATGTGGTGCGTTTAGTGAGTGCATGGCAAGGAGAGTGATCTTACACTTTGTGGGTGCAAAGTGCATGCAAAAGAACAGGATGAGTTTGGTCAGTTCATGCAACAAACACCTATGCCTTCTCTTCTTCGAAGAAGAGAACGATATCGTCTGCATATTCCAGATCTATTTGAACACCGGGGTTCTGGAGACTTTCCAACGTTTGTCTCATTAGTTCATCGATCACGAATGTAAATAGGAATCGGGAGAGTGGGCATCCCTAACGAACACTACTTTGTGTACGGAAGCTTTTGGAGAGATTTCTGTATACTTTCACACGTCCGGATGTCTGAGAATGCAACACATATTGTTCACAGGCCTCCGGGGCATTCCTCGATGGGCAAGCGTGTCAACCAGAATAGACCGGTCAATCGAGTCGAATGCATCTTGGAAATCCAGGAATACTAAAATTGTTGGTTCCTTTTTACGTATGGCGTTGTTCTGGCGTCTGATAGAGTGTGAAGATTTGGTCGACGCAACTTCTACCTGGCCGGAATCTTGCTTATTACTCTCGAGTCAGTGTTTCACGAGCCACTCTCACTTTCACTTGACGTGTGGCAATTCGTCGCTTCAAGTTAAGTTCGGGACTGACTGGGATATTTCTCCGCGATTTAAGCAGTAAGACCGTTCGGTCTGATATCCAGTGCTTCAGTGCACGTGGTGGTGACGTGCCACAGGCGAAATTTTCAGCGCTATGCAAAGAGGTGATAATCTCGTCCCAGTATGTGTTCACATCTGATGGTGGAGCATTTGGAAGAGACTCTAGAAGGCAATTCTTGTAAGTTCGTCTAAAATCCGGATCTGCCAGTCTCAGTTACCAATCGATTTGTCCGCACCTTACGCGGCCATGGAAAATGTATAGAGAAGCGACTCCGGACGAGTACGTGGTCGGAATCCACAAATGTGTTCCCAAATGAACTGCAGTCAGTTACTGATTCGCGCTATCGGTACCTGATGGCAATGTGATCGATTTGAATTTGTGGCTGGCACGCTGTTGGAGGACACCAAGTGGCCAGACGACTTCGGTTATTTCGGAAGTTAGCACTGCAATCAGCACACAGCTGAGGCAACCGTTCACCATCGTCCACACTTATCGAATCCAATTAATGTCGACCTCCGAATTGAGTCTCAGATACGCTAAGCCTGCCCACTTGTGCATTCAGATCTCCTTCAACCAAACAATATCTGAGCTTTTAGCTCGCCGCAATGGGATCATTCAGGGCGTCGTAAAGACTGTTTTGATGGTGTCGGAGTCACATTCATTTGAGGCGCAAACAGACACCAGACAGCGATCAACTTCCTGCTTGTGAGACTCCTTCGCAGACATTGCCAGACGAACCGCACAGAGGCGACTTTCAACAAGTATGCAGTCAAACAAAGGCACTAGAGCCCCGGTGACTTAGGACGATACCAACCCCTGCACATTCTGGCGCGGCAGCCTCTAGATCATCAGAGGTGCTCAGCTGGAAGCGAGTGAAGATTGTGGAGCGGTTAGCTCAATCACTTGCTTGAATCTTGATTTCTTGTGTTTGATGCACAGCACACATCACTGCCAAGCGAGTCCAGCGTTTGTTGTTCTCCTTGATTCAGAGTGCGGTCATTAAAGACTGCCAGGTAGACCGGGTTTCGACACTTGAATATTGATTTCTAGGTGTCTGAGGTTGTCGGCGCAGGATGGCACGCATCCTCTGTAGTAACCTCCAAATAGGTGTGGAGCAGCTTTACTCTGTGTACGTATTTACGGTAACACTGGTTCGTCATTTCGAACCGTGTTGCATTTTGATGCTACGCTATATTTGTGGGCTCTGGTCAATCGTGCATGTTGTCTCAAATGTGTTGCAAATTTGCTTTTCACACCGTGAGCCTTCCTCTTTGCGTTGACCTACATTAATCAACAGGCTTTGTTCAGCCTCCCCATGTTAGGATTCCGAATAGCATGAAGGAAGGGACGAATGACCTGAAGGAAATTCCTGAGGACACGTATGCCTCATTGACTCACCCAGGAAATGATACACCGAAGACTTAGATTTCCGCTTGGCCTGACTGCTGACCATTCATACCTGTTCGAATGGAGGAGTCGGACTATTGAAGTTGTTGGTTCATTTTTTTCGTAGCTTATTCACATTGGAGATATGTCTGTCTGAATTTGCCTTCACACAAGTAGCCGTCTAAGTTGTCGAACTCAGATTTTCACAAAAGTCAACCCTAGAGAGAAGCCAGACGGGCCCCAGTTGAAGCTGCAGCGTGTACGGGAGTACCGCTAGTTGAACGAGGGTGGTATAGACGTGACTTCTACAGATCCTGTAGCCACCAACAACTAATTCCTGACTGGAAAGTCAGTCGATCAATACAGCCAAGACATTTACTGGGTCGTCGTTCGAGGCGTTAGGCAAACCAATCATGTTGCTCAATCATAAACACATTTCCTGTTCGGGCGTGAAAATTCATAACATGCGCTGGTGGACTAGTGGTAGCACGCTAGCCTCGCATGTCGATTGCGGATGAAATTGAATAAGAGAAACTCTTGTCCAGTGCTTCGCTCCTTTCAAATGGACTCATCAGGATAATTTGGACAGGGAGAGTGATGTGGACATGATCTTGATCGTTCGGTTGTAACACCCTTTCGACGCCTAGATGCCACACTACCGGAAGGAAGCACGAGATGTGAACGGGAATATAAATCATTACATATCATCCATGTGATTAGCATTCTTGCAGCGACCGTGAGTCCCAGCAAATCAACCACTCGCGGGTTCATCTATGGCCACGTTCCTTGAGAACCGTAGGCTACTGAGTTTGGTACAGCTGTGTTTGACGCTGTCAGCGTGAGCGTGCAAGCTTGTTCTTGTCACTGAAGAGGATTAGAGAAAAGGTGATCGCCTTTTTATTTTCAGACATTGCATAGACTTCATGATGATGCCACAAGGAAGACTGTCAAACGCGTTACAAACGAGGTGAAGGTGAATTTGGACCATATGAGTGGAATCTGGCATTTTTGCTTGGAACCTGGGTTAACGCACCTTCCTAGGATATAGTAATTAACGAAATTTGGACGAAAACTAATGAATAAAAACCTTTACTTTGGTGATTCAGGCCGAATAGGATCGATGCAGTCCCTTCTAACAGAAGTTTCGGTAATTTAAAATGACAAAACGCCTTTTATAGCTGAACGGCGCAATGAGGTGCTTTTGAGTGTCCTTAGAGCTGGACGGGTTATATTTTACGGTGGACGCCCGGGAAATTCCCACGGTAGTCAGGGGACGCACGTAGGTTGGACTGGCATTATGCTTAGTCGTCGAATATTGGCGGTGATCATAACCTAGCGACCAAAATGAAAATCGAGCACAAGAAAGCACTGTAAACAGCGTCTATATCCTTTAGAAATGATACGATGTAAATACATTTCCGAATAGCTAAAGCATCCCATCTGCAAAAGCATAGGCGTGAAGAGTTCCACCGCACTCCGAGTTTGTGAATGTGGGATAGAATTATATCTTTAGCTGTTAGAGTGTTTTCGTATCCTTACTGGGTCAAGATGGCACTGTCTATGACGTGGTTCACATATCATCCAGGAGTTCCATTATCAACGGATTCGTCGCTTTACTGGTGCACGTCAATCAGTTACAGTATTCCGCGACTTGTAGTTAGTTTATGGCCTGAAAAACGAATATCCGGTAGCTAACACCCTCTATGATATTTTGCTTGTATCACTAATTTTTCCATATATACAATCGATCCCTACAATTGTTTCTTGGTTAGCTTACTCATGGACATCGCTAAATCGTTCCTGTAACGAGGGGACCTTACGCCTAGTTGAACAAATGTATGAAAATGGTCAGGATAGGACTTATCGGGGAATTGGAACTACTGTTAATCTGTCAGTACCACTCATCGCTAGGTGTTGTTTGACCGTTCCTATATTCTTGTGTATAATGACTGCGATCTTACCTGCTTTTATTGTAAGACCGACTACTGTATTAAAGGAACTCTGGAGGCAACCACGGCGTGGTGACTTGTGTATATCTGTGACTATTGAATTTTAATCGCGCACTTTCGCTTTATCGCGCGAGTCTAGTACAGGCTGTAGATGGATTATTTAGTAGTGCTTCTTAAACTGCACCGGACAAATAATTTTTGGGTCAGACTAGGAAGTGGAATGTGTCTGTCTCTGTAGTTTGATTCAGATACCTTGCACGTTTAGTTAGCTCCCAGGAAATAGGGTAGATTGAATCATTTGCCTGTCATCATCAGCATCCTCTCACGACTACTGCGCCACATTGTTTACCGTGTTTTCTCTCTTTCACAGGCTGTTCAAAATTTTCTTCTATCAAGTCAATTACCAGTTAGGCTATTTACTCGGTCCCGGTGCAGGCAACAGTTCCGCCGGTAACTCTGGGCTCACGTCCTCCGTGGATTTGCAGTTCCTTACCGACAATGCCGATCTTTGTGGTCTGGATAACATTTGGCGCATTCTGTTGGACGCACCAAGCAGCGTTGCGCTGGAGGCGATGCAACTACTGGAAAAAGTGTACACCAATCTCTCCCCGCAATTGCTCCCGCAGAAAAGGGAGCGTCATGAAGATTTATTACAGCATTGTTTCTCCCGCCTGCGTGCGGACTACGACACAGTAGGTGCTTTTATTTATCATGGTTATTTCCACTTTATCTGTGTCTCCTCGTTTCCCCTTGCGATTTTGTGTTTCTTTTGTATTACTGCATTACTTTTGAAACTCTAACCCAGTTATGCTCTGTGTAACTCGCTCCAGTAGGGATGGCTCGAAGTTTGGCTCGATGGTATCTTTTCTCACAAATATTGGCTTTGAGAACTTCATAAGTAATTGACGTAATACACTCCTTTTAAATTATGTTGATTTTAATGGGAGATCAGCTGAATGCCAACCAAACCTCTCTTGTGGTCGTTGCTTTGTTCGCTGAGCTGGGCAATTTGATTGCAAACGTTTCACCACCAACCGAGGTGACATCATTGGTAGGTTTCTTCTCGCCATGCTTCAAAGAATAAATTGCTTCTCTTCCCTTTTCGTCCCCTTCACACAAACTTTGTTTTCTATTGGAAGTATCACTATATCTCAGAATTAATATAGCTTCTTTTAACAATTCTGGCAAGGCTGTGCTTACTAATATTCCACTTCCATTCTGTGGGGCATTTCAATTTTGGAGAGTAAATTGGCCAGTTGGGGTATCTCTAGGGTTTCTTCTCTTGAAAAGGCTGAAAGAGAATTCTGTGAGTTCTGTCTTGGGCTGCTTCCTCGAGGGAAGGAGCGCTGTGTCAAGTATTTTGACGAAGATGACAGCTTGTCTTTCTGGTAGCTGCCAAATTGATGGAATAATCTCGTTTTCGCGCTCCGCCGTCCGCTCTGTTTTTTTTTCAATATCATTCACGACCGATATCGCTAGCGGTTTAACCTCGACGCGTTTGCTCTAAACTTTCAGTCTGCCAAATGTCTCTCTCACCTGATGGACAACTCTCTCACAGCCGTTGTACGTTTGTACAGATACCACTGCCGCTCGATCCATCCATGTTTACTAACAGGTCGTAGTTTGAGCTGGCCTCTTTTTGGTCTAGCGGATCGCTTGCTTACTGGGACAACATATATGGTCTGCCATGTAAAAATGATTGGATCGTAGTCAAAGCCATATTTGACCATGTGTCTATCTTGCTTCGGCCAGCCGATTGCTTCGAATGTTTGGGCTGTATTCTTCTGTCTATTTTCCCCTCCGACCTTGAGTGTACAAACAGTGCTGTCCCCACTTTCAAGCCAAACAACTAGGTGCGGTAAATTCCTTGCAACCACTGGAAGGATGCTGTCTCTGTGGGGCGCGATTTCATTGGGACGCCTCTTGTGTGATTTCAGATAAATCTCACTACCCGCTTCCTGGTCTTCTGTGCGGACTCATCACCTCATGTTATATTACATGTTTTTGGTGAGTTCTTCACCACACCATCCAGAGACAGGGTAAATGTTTAGATTCAACTCTTGCTATTTGTTTTGTTACCTACGGCAACATTTCCACGATTCCGTCCTATTGGTACTGTGGGTAATCCATGATTGAAAGAGCTTTTTATTCTTCTACGATACTTCATCTTATGCACTACAGCTTACATTTATTCGCTATGCGATTTTGTATATCTTGTCCTACAGATTCATATTTTGATGAATACCGAATCGCATACGACCGATTCGGAAATGACTCGTGCACTGGATCGCGTTGTGCGGGTCATCCATTTACTCCAGCATTTCCTTGTATTCGATGAGGAGCTTGCACATCCATCACCAAAAAGAACCCCACTGAAACGGTAAGGGTATTTTCTCACTTCGAGCGGTCTCCTCCCATATATTTCTTACCATTTACATTATGCATGTGGGTGCGGACAATTCTGACTAATCGAGTATCATGTTCACCGATGAACATAAACTAGGTCAATGCGTCCTGATGGTTCACGGTATGGGCTATTAAGAATTGAATGACTTCGTCTCAGCTTTTCACTCCTCCACGAAAGCTTTAGCACGCCATACGGTTGCAGGACCTTAGTATCTCGTCACGGTTACGAACAACCAGTTTTATTATGATTGTTGAACAAGTAAATCCTCATCGGATACTTGTTGGCCGTTGCTCGCTTCGCTGTGCTGTGCTGTGAAAGTTGATTGTAAACGTTTCGTTGCCAGTCGAGTTGGTTCCATTAGCGAGTTTTCAGTGGAAGTGTGTTGAAGTCGGTTGTGCGTGACTTGGTTGATACGGACCCTATTCACCCAGATCAACTTTGACCGGTCATTGTTCATGCGGGTGATCATTTATACTGACTTGTTTGTCGGCCTGTATTCTTATTGGTGAATGTCCATATAGCCTTTTGATTTAGCCTCTCCGGTCCTTCCGCCATTACCTTCGTTCGTTTACCTCCACAGTTTGTCCCGTTTCCTGTTCCCTCGAATTGAGGGCTGAGACTAACCCAGTGTTACCGTTGATTCAGCGGTCCCTCGCTCTCAGCGTGCGTAGGCAGGAATAATTTTGGTCAACTGGCTGGTTGAATCTTTTTTGGAGTACCTGTAGGAATTCCCTTTCATTTCTTGTACTTCCGCGTGCCACGTTCTTCACAGTTGTCTCTATGGGACCTCACCATCAACTTCATTGTAAAACCATACAAATTTACCGTCTTTAAGTTGAGATAGACTTAGTTCAGCAGTAGGTGGCATCAGCCACAATCTTGCCGGTTTTTCATGCTTGTGGTATTTTTTCTGTCTGCAGTGCTTGGGTCGGGACATCTATTCGGTTCAACGTGGTTTTCTATTCGTCGCTAAGTGACTTTAGAGGTTCGACTTATCATGGAGATGGATTTATCGCCCCAAGAACAACATCGCCTGTACATGAGAACGATTCAATTGATCAATTTCGAGATGTTAGCCAACATACTATCCAGTTTACTGCACACGCCAATATGACCATTGGGGAATTACGTTCACACCTGCTGGCCTTCCGTCTTCGTTCATTGCACAATCACATTAACTGCCTTCCACAGCAGGAGGCAGGTTCGGCAACTGCAACGTCAGCCTTCTCAGGGGATAATCCCACTGGTTACGAAGATCATAGTTATAAACTTGAACTATACGTCAGCCGATTAGAAGACCGTCGGCCTCCAGCCTCTTCGGTATCACCTCTGCTTTCAGGAGTCCCGATAGATTCCAGCTCAAATGACAGTTCTGTGCTTATTCTATTATCTCAATTTCCCGAATGGCCGCACGCATTCATGGATGCACAGGAAGATGTCAATTTGGCTGATTTGTCACGGGATTTTGATGATTCCAGTCCTCGGTAAGTCGAACCGGATCCTCATACGTTCGAATTTCCGGCAAACAGTTGGTCCTATTGCAGATCACATAACAAATATAGTTATAGTCGTTCGGTTCTAACACCCTTTTGATACTTAGAAAAGAAGGGCGCGAGGATTGAGTTGCTTCAAGTTGCCCAAGGCTAGACAAGAGCAGTTGAGATGGTGAGGTTGAATCCGAACCGCGGACCTTCAGGTCACCAATGAATTGGGGGTCCATCTCACATGTAGAGTTCTGATGCTGGACTGGCTTCAGCCCTTTTTTCATTTAGCTCCTGGGTGTTTTTGTTATACATCTTGAATAGTTGGAAGAAGGCTGAATGACTTCGATTTTTTTAAATCAGTATATTCCCCCAAGTCCAATTCCTACGGTTGCTTGCCTGGGAATCCGTTGACATGCTTGCGCCACATGGTCAGCAGCAACAAACGTCTGCTTTAGTCCTGTGTGAGTATCCTCGAGCGCCTGACTTATGGCCTATGGTCAGATATCAATGAATCGTAAACTCTTGTGCTGTCGCTGAACGCTTCTCAGTAATTTGCCCGTGATTGGGTTCAGTTACTGAATCAGCATTTTGTTTCGTTTCCCCTACGGACTCAAGGAACTGAAAAGGCTTCTTCCTTCTTAGTTACCGGCGAACTTGTTTACCGATTGTTTTTGCTAAACCAGCTTGAGCCGTAGTTGTCGTAGTCTGTGGTTTCGACAGTGCAGTCAGCAGTCGCCTTGTGGCATCGGATTTCTAGTTTTTTTTCTTCATACAAGCTGATCCGTTCCACAATCGCTTCCTTGCATCACCCGTTCGATACACACCCAGAGGGCGATGACGCAGTCAACATGAACGCACAGGAAATAGTGTTTCTTACGTTACTTATCGACGTACATTTAGTAGATATTATATCATGAGACCCTGAACAGCAATCTCATATAGCCTCAAGGACCGCATACACGAATCGATGGCCATGTTGGCATTCATTGTTACTACTGCTGTTCTCCGTTATGGCAAGCACGCGACAAGCTACGATAGGGGTGATACATGAATGTAGATAAAAATATCGCGAATAGAGTGCAATCTCCACTCATATTCAGCAGTTAGTGTACAATACCTTTCCTTGGAGGATATTTAAAAAGGACGATTCGGTTGTAAGTTGGAAATCCGTTCCTGCTAGCCTATCCAACTGTACTGGCGTATCTGACGAGTGAAATATGCAGATATAAAAAAATAAAAAATAAAAATAAAAAGGTGCTGGTACTGCGAGTCACGAATGCACCCAACAGTGGGAGTTTTGACAATTTGAACAAACTGGTTTGAAAAAAACGTCTTCGCGGCTTTTCCTGAATGCTTTTCACAGTACCCCATCCTAGCGGATACACACGTCGGAAGATATCGTGAGGGACGTTGTCCCGTTTGTTTTGGTTAGCACTTGTTAGATCAGAACATCACTTGGTCTGTCAAATGTCATGCATCGCCTCACTGGTAGTTGACAAATCGTTTGAGTGCGGAACGCCGGACAAGGTTACATTAAATCCCACTTTCTCATGAGTAGTTTCTGGCATAACCTTCACTTAAGGCTCATAGGTGATGTTTTTTGTTGTCAAACGTTTGTCCATCGGAAATTCGTCATAGCTAAAGTAGCGGTGTATTGTGTTTAAATCGGGGTGTAACCGTCAGAAATAACCGTTTTAATGGATATTACTATTGTTCCTTGCGGGCGTTTATTAGTCCGAACAGTTTTATTGATTCCTTTTTCGACCTCCTCGGCCAGCATAGCACTTTATCATCTCGTTTCGTCATAGGCTACAGTTAGTCGCTCACATTGTCCTGGGCACCCCAGAGCTCAGCCATCTCCGCAACAGGAAACGGAATATGGAAGTAACAACTCGGGTTGATACCAGCAAACCTGTGACGGATGATTTTCTGCATCGTTCCTGCACGGATTCGGCTGTTTTTTCCGAGGATACTCAATGTGAAAACGAACCACAGTTGGACAGTGTTATCGCGTCACCATCCAGTTATGAGGACTTAGATCCGGGTAGGGCTCTATTTCTCCCATATTGAGTTCCTTTTTCCTCCTCGCATTTGCTCACATTCGACAATAGTTGACCATTCTGATAAATTCCATCTGTCCAGTCAACCATGCCAGCTTCAAACAATGAAATTACGGTTTAACACGAGATTTCGAGTTGTTCGCAAAACAAGATTGCAAACATTCTCTCACGGTTAAATTTAAAAAAGAAACCTTTGTGTAAGGTGCTCTACAGTTTCTTGGAAATGCATTTATGATCCTCAGATGTTTCTCATGGATTAGAAACGTCAAAACTTCAGTTCTGTGTTGCGTGCAGTCTCTGTCGTACTGTCAATCCGAATTGCTGCAGAACGGTAGATAGATGATCTCACTGTAACCAAAAAATTACAATCGTGTTTAGTTAACAATGCAAAATATGACTGAAAAGCGCGTCGTGGCATAGATACTAAATCTGACGTCGAATCTTTATTTAGTGTGCCACAATAAGTAATTATAGTCTGCTATTCAATAGTTCGGTTTATCAGCTGTGAAGCATGATCCAAAAGTACGTTGGTTCCCGTTGCTACGATGTCGGTCACCAGAAACTGGGAGAGCCTGATCATGTATTGCAGGCGACGTCGTAATCAATTATTTCTGTAAACTGGGAACCTACGCAATGAAGGCTTTGATGCACGAGCCCCACTGACTGCGTGATTGAACCATGTTTGCCAGTGTCATTAAACGTTAGGTGAGTTGAGCCCGATTCGGTGTGGCTCCGCATCCAAGGAGGCGGTAGTTGTCGATACGACTGTATAGTGCTTTCGTACTTCGTTTCCAAAGCATAGACTTCAGGTAGATGGTCCTCTGGCGTACGAAGTTCATGCAACGTACGAGGCGTGATTAGCTCACCCATCAAGAGAGCTCCTTTGACCTAAAGTCACTTGGTGTACCCCAGCACTGCTAATCGCATGTTCTCACCCGACTCCGTCAATACTTCGCAGGCGTCGATGGTCAAACACGGGAGACCTTTTTACATCCCGTGCGCCTAGAATCCACATTTCCAACCCGTTATGCAATATGGTTGGCACTGTCCTATGACAATGTCTTCTAACCCTCACAGGCAAACTGTCATCCGGGCGCCATATGAGTCGCAGATCGGTAAAAGCTACCTTATCCTTCCGGATTTGAGCAGTAATCTCGCCTCCAAGCAGTCCACTGGCACTCATACAAATGCCATGTCTATTGGCTCGTCTGCAAGCATGAGATTTGCGTTTGATTCCACCTAGTCCTGTAGCAGCACTTTACACGGCAGGCGCATTTAGATCCCGGAGGTCAGAGAAATTTTAAGCAGCACGTCAATAACAAAGTGGAAGAGGAAAGGTGAGAGAGGGACGTGGTGAACTCATTCGAAAGTTTCCTGTGTCCGCAGAAGTTCCCATACAATGCCGATGGATTAGAAACGTCAAAACTTCAGTTCTGTGTTGCGTGCAGTCTCTGTCGTACTGTCAATCCGAATTGCTGCAGAACGGTAGATAGATGATCTCACTGTAACCAAAAAATTACAATCATGTTTAGTTAACAATGCAAAATATGACTGAAAAGCGCGTCGTGGCATAGATACTAAATCTGACGTCGAATCTTTATTTAGTGTGCCACAATAAGTAATTATAGTCTGCTATTCAATAGTTCGGTTTATCAGCTGTGAAGCATGATCCAAAAGTACGTTGGTTCCCGTTGCTACGATGTCGGTCACCAGAAACTGGGAGAGCCTGACCATGTATTGCAGGCGACGTCGTAATCAATTATTTCTGTAAACTGGGAACCTACGCAATGAAGGCTTTGATGCACGAGCCCCACTGACTGCGTGATTGAACCATGTTTGCCAGTGTCATTAAACGTTAGGTGAGTTGAGCCCGATTCGGTGTGGCTCCGCATCCAAGGAGGCGGTAGTTGTCGATACGACTGTATAGTGCTTTCGTACTTCGTTTCCAAAGCATAGACTTCAGGTAGATGGTCCTCTGGCGTACGAAGTTCATGCAACGTACGAGGCGTGATTAGCTCACCCATCAAGAGAGCTCCTTTGACCTAAAGTCACTTGGTGTACCCCAGCACTGCTAATCGCATGTTCTCACCCGACTCCGTCAATACTTCGCAGGCGTCGATGGTCAAACACGGGAGACCTTTTTACATCCCGTGCGCCTAGAATCCACATTTCCAACCCGTTATGCAATATGGTTGGCACTGTCCTATGACAATGTCTTCTAACCCTCACAGGCAAACTGTCATCCGGGCGCCATATGAGTCGCAGATCGGTAAAAGCTACCTTATCCTTCCGGATTTGAGCAGTAATCTCGCCTCCAAGCAGTCCACTGGCACTCATACAAATGCCATGTCTATTGGCTCGTCTGCAAGCATGAGATTTGCGTTTGATTCCACCTAGTCCTGTAGCAGCACTTCACACGGCAGGCGCATTTAGATCCCGGAGGTCAGAGAAATTTTAAGCAGCACGTCAATAACAAAGTGGAAGAGGAAAGGTGAGAGAAGGACGTGGTGAACTCATTCGAAAGTTTCCTGTGTCCGCAGAAGTTCCCATACAATGCCGAAGCTCCTGATGGTTGACAGAGTCGTAATCAACTCTCTGATCCAGAGAAATGAACAACATAGAGCATTCGAAAGTGTGGTGCTTTTCAATAATTTGTCTCAAGGTAAAGATACATCGATACATCCTCGGCTAGGGAGAAACCTAGCTTGATTCCCCTGAGTTTCCCGATAATCGGCCAATCTGTGCAAAATGATGCAATGACTACCAGGCTGATGTCTTGATGGTTTCTACGTGACGCCCCTTTTAACTACTAGGACTCCGAGGTGCTGCACCCCACTGATATTGTTTTCTCAAATCGTCCTCATTCGTGTAGTCAGACTGTTCACCAGGACGTCACCATCTTTTTTTGGATACACGTGGGGTTTGAAGGGAACTGACTGTTTTTTTGAATACAGCTGTAACTTAGGATGTAATTAAAACAGGAATATACCGAAGTAATTTAATCACTTGAATGGCATCGCTGCTGGTCACTCAAAAGTGAGGCATTTGGGCAACCTAGGGGCTTATTGGCCGATGCTTCCAAGTTTGTTATCGTTGACTTTGCCTACTGATGAGTAGTTTGGAGCAACCATTTTCACACGTAATCAAATGCACCGTACCGCCAGAAGCCCTTCAAGAGGCTCCTCGTATGAATGTTCTGCAACCTAGCCTATTTTTTGTGCCATTTTTTGCAATGAACAAGACCAATCAGCTTTAGATTTCTTTTTGTGGGCTATTGGTTACCACATGTAGGCTCACGCATATCTCACTTTGTTACGAGCAATAGCGGTTTCCTTGTCCGTTGAAACCTAGACCTGTGATTATTTTGAAGGAGCTTCCTCTCTCTCAGAACGAACCATGCAAGGATCGGTTGTTTCGTATTTTGCTCCGTGGCTTCTCTTTGCAGGAGCCCATGGCTTTAGCCTTTAGCCGGTCTTGAGTGCGTTCAGTTATCGTCTTGCGTGAGAACTATCTTCCGATATGGCACAATAGGCGAATTTCCTTGTTCATTTCTGATCGTTTTTTTTGTTGCGTTTCTTGTGGCTCATTTGCTGTTTTGATGGAACATAGTTATTTGTGATAAATATATTTGTTACCATACACTAACACACGCTTCTCTCGTCGCACAATCTTCAGTCACCTCAGAACAGCGCTGCAAATTTCTACTCCAACTTGCTAAAATGGCAGTCCGTGTCAATAATCCGACATTCTTCTCTGGTGTGATGGAGGTGCTTCTTTCTTTGCCCGCTCCCAAATCGCTTATGGAGCGCATCCGTTCAGATGTGCACGCCTCATCGGCTTCGATTCCAGACGCAGATAATCTCAAAACCGAACTGACAGACTGGGTTACTGTCCAGACTGGTGAGTGAACTGTTTTCCGATTTGATTACCTTGGTTTCTTCCCGTGAATTATTAGCGACTCATCATCAAGACCATCACAAAGGGACTGGTGAGACAGTTTGTGTACCTGCCTGACCCATTGTCTAGCGTTCGTGTGACACAGGTTTTTTCATACCATATTGGTCAGTAATCGGAAGTCTGACCAACACAGTCTTGCCTCCAGGTTGGGGGTCGGGTCGGAACAGGGCGACTGGTTCCATAGAAATTGATATACAATTGCATTTTACGCAAAACACCCGTGCCTTGTGATCAGGCTTTTCAACTCTACTCGTCTTCTTATCTAGGTGTAGGAGCTCTAGCAGTGTGCAACCATGACACTTAAACCAACTATGCTTCCACGCCGCATGGCCCCATCGCCGGGTCACCTTACTTGCTACATACAGTAGAGCGAGTAAGCGGGAACATGCTACTTCTAAATGCGTCCCTTCTTTCACTTCCACGTTTTTCCTCTTCTGCCGTACCCCACCACAATTTGACCACTTCGTCTGCAGGTTCCAGCACTAGATCGGCATTTTTTCCTTGTCCGTACATCACACTCCATCAGGTCCTAGAGCAACGCAACGCCATGTGTACGGGCGACGCACAATCTAGGTGTTCATTGATTTCAAGAGTGCGGATGGTCAATGCAGGTAGCCACGTTTGCTCAATGGAACAACAAGCAAGTTGGCAGAAGGGTTTGAAAGAGATCAAGAATAGTATGGCTGTTGCTGCTGCCTTCCAGAATGAGGTGCATGTGACTCCACCTGGATACGTTGCAAGAAATCGTGGCCGGTGGACGTTAGTGGTGTTTGTTCTGTCACTTTCCGCTAGGCTGGATACATTGCAAGAAATCGTGGCCGGTCGACGTTAGTGGTGTTTGTTCTGTCACTTTCCAGGTTGTCTGACCAAGCGCTCGTTGGTGTAGGCACCGGAGAATGCTTGCGATAGGCCAGTACCAGATCCCCTTCTTCACCTACTCCTTCCTATTCTTTCCACTGTGAGGCTTTAAATGTGGCTATACGACAGTGGAACATCAGTTTCAACACTGATGTTGCTGCCTCTAATAATGGTGGATGGTGATAATTCACAGGAGGTTATCTAGTATTTTAAGGTATACCTTCAATAATTTCGGTTTATTAGTAACACAGTACGAATTACATTGACCGGCCGGCATGCCGTGCATACCGGTCGCGCTACTCTGAGGACGTTTGCAAACCTAATGACTTTCCAGCTTACACTATCACAATGCTGAAAATTCCTCGTGTCGTGTTGAGTTTGATCCACTTCACTCGAACATTTGCCTTTCCGGCGGTCCTTTATCCCAATGGGAGACTGCTTTCGTCCTTGGACCAGACTAGATCTTGTAACACGATCTTCATCCCTGTAACTCTTGGGCTGAGCTGAATTCATCCTCACTGTGGATACTACATAACCGAATTGCTCAGCGAGCCAAGAATCGACTTCTGAGTCATGCTTCTGCCTAGTTTGTATACAATGCTTTGCCCCGTGCGTTTTCGAAATGTTTATGGTTATTGCTATAATGTCCTAGTGGACTGTATAATCTCTAAAGCCCTCTGTGACGCTTGATTTACGTTCTTAATGAAACGTTTCAGTGTTTTTTTTCGCGGACTCTACTGGCATTTAATTGTATCTTCACTTTCATTCACTGGCGTAACTTTCTAGCTCTTCAGAACCTTTGTGCCCCTGCATGTTGTGTGTACCAAAACTGACCTAGAAAACTGGTCATCAGCTCGTAAAATTTGTCATTGTAACCAATTAATTAAAAGCTGCTAACGCCTCATGAATTGTCCTACCTCCGGAAGCCTTTTCGAAGCCATTAGCAAGTAAATCATACATGCTCGGGTTTGGACTAAAAACTCTAATTTCAGACTTGTTATCGAGTGGACTCTGTCCTTGACAGACGCACTTCGATCGTTCTGATAACCGAAGCTCGGAAAACGCCAAAATATCGACTATTTTGGCTAGCTTCATGCAATGTTGACCGTACTTGTCATTGGCACATGTGATACGAGCCCGAAACGTCTCGTCTCATTGTTGAATTACGTCAGACTATCAGGATTGTGGTAACCAACCCGTTTGCCAGCATCGGTTTGTCAGGGAATTTAGACGTATTACTAAATGGGAGATAGTCTAATCAAACACCTCAAATGGAGATGGACACATTGAAGGGCAAGTAACAACAGACTGGTTTTAAGAACACATCATCTGCATCAACCGTTCAGTTTTCAAAAGAGGTAATATAGATCCAAGATAGTATTTCATGTTCAGTGCCAATTAGGTGAGAATTATACTTCACGCGGGATCAAATAAGGTGAAAATAATATGAAATACACACAAATATGACACGATTCTTGTAAAATTAACTTCTTGACCTAACTATCATTCCTCAATCAAATAAAACTCTAAACTTGTCGGATTCCAGCAGGGTCTTTCCCAGAGGGTACCACATTGGCCTTTTCTTATGGATTGTTCCTGTTCTGGGACCTCTACAAAACATGTGCTCATGCAATTGCATCAAAGAGCCATTTTTCCCACGTCATCTAGGCACATCTGTTGAATCTGCAGCAAAAGATCTGAAGGAATACATGTACGATGACTTCTCTGGCTGGCCTTGATAGAATTTCAATCACCATCAGCCTCTAAAAGTGCTCCGAGGTCTAGGCTGAATATTGATTTCCCTAGAGTTAAAAACTGTAATCGGAGATCGAAGGGAACGATTGACATTTTTCTTACCTATCTGTTTTTCCTTTTAACAAGCCGATCATACCGCTTTCAAGGGGTCATACCTCGGTCAGCTTTTGACGTCCACAATGGGCTCTTCTTCCACACAGTCATCAGTAGACAGTCTTGACCATCTAGTGGATCTGTATTATACTCTTCAGCTGCTCTACAGCCTTTGTTTACCATCTCCGGCCGTCACACAGTACCAAGATTATCTAGCCTCTGCTAACCAAGACCTACTGACACGACTGTCTCTCGGTGACCTCACGAACCTTCCTGTCTGGCGAGACGCTAGCCAATTTACCGTGAGTTGTTCATCTCTTGGCTGTGCCCACGCCATTGCGTTTTGCGTTCTTGATTAATATGCGATGCGAACGAATTTCTTTTACTCGTTTGTAGCTTGGTGCAATACATTAATTTAGAACATTGTCTTTGGGACATATGTTCATATGCAGTTATCTTTCTCATCTAATTCCCTGTAAAAAATACAACTCCGCTTTCAAAATTGTGTCTTGTCTCTGGAAAATGATACCATTATCCAAACCCAGGTGAACAATTTCCAAACAAACTTCTATTTCAAGTTAGTCTCTCTGGCGCTCCAAAAGGATGCGCATAACTGGCTTTGTGAATCACTGCTGTAGTTCGTTTCTGGGGTAATGCAGGGTCTGTTTTTCCCTGATTAGGGCAACAGGTCCTTGGCTGATGTTAATATTGGGTTAGTGGGAAGGTGCAGTCAGTTGTTATCCACGGTCCTTCATACGATTGCTTTTTGCGCCTAACTGTTCTCTCATTCCCTACCTTTTTCACATGTTAGCTGCAACTGCTTCGTGCTGGTGTCATTCCCCTTCTGTTATCTTGTTTGGCTTTGCTCAACCAAACACATGCCTCGCCAGTTTCCCCAGACTCTGTTCAGTCAACTGTTTCGCGACTAATAGAAATTTGGCTAACCCGGATGCTGAACTTGTTGCTCACTGTCGTCGCATTCACTGTGGTCTGCTTAGCCCGCTCTTCTGAGCAACCTTCTTCCATTCAGTTGGATGCTTCTCACGCAGACTTCGAGGATCATTTCACGAAGCGGTTCCAGATATTCTGCGCGGCTCGAAAGAAAGCACTCCAGCAAAATGACCCAATACTCACTGGGGAATACTATGTAGTCAGACATGCAGAATTCGTTGGACACTTGGCGAAGAATTCAGGGGTAAGACTCCCACTAGTTGATTTGAACTTTGTTTACGGTAGAAGCAACATTTCTGCTCTCAAATGTGGAAACGTTGCACATCGTTACACTTAGTGCTATACTTCTCATAAAGCTTTCACAGCGGCACATCATTTCTGTCCTGTCACTAGTCTGCGTTTCTTGGGAGAACACCCATGTGCTGATCCGAACTTGTTTGTTTGTGCAAAGGGCAACGTCACTGCAGACGACCACCGTTTAAAAAGGGTAGATCTAAGCCTCATCCTGCTCAATCACTTATTAGGTCATCCTAATTAAGTCGCATGTTCTTCAGCGGTGGAAAGTCTTCTCATCCGATGGTCTACCGCACAGCCCGCTGCGGTGTGTCACAATATTGTAGTGGCTATTTTACTCTACTGAAGTAGAGTTCTCTGGTGTGAGCCTATACTAACGTAGCAGCAGTGTGAACGGGAGCAGCCTCAGGATGCGCTGTGCACACATCCAGGGTAAGAGTTGGAAACTTCCCTTAATACACAGTTCGGGACATTTGAAGGCAGTCGAATGAGCACATTATCACTGACTATGACTCTCAGACGCGTGGGAGCTTACCCTGTCAAGTCATTTAGTGACACAACACGTGGTTTTTCTAACTCACATCCGCTCCGCTCGCTTCTCTCATTTGTAGTGTGCGTTTTGTTCAGGGGGAATAGATTCCGTGTAAAACGTAGCATCACAATCGGTTCAGTGAGGAAGAATTTATGTTCAGTTTTGCACAAACTACAGAGATTGTGCATTTGATGGCGAATTATCCAAGTCCTCCGTCAATAGTTATACTAGCGATGCCGATTCAGAGGACATGTTTTTTTTGTGTCCATATCCAAGGCCAGTGTTTTTTGTTTTTACCCCAACAAGGTAACCACAGCAGAGGTGCAAACACGATGGTTGCCGGATCCCAAATCCAGCGATGAGACGATAAGTCTCCATACGTTTCCATGGTCCACCAACGATTCCTGCATCTCGCCACTACAGAACGATGCATGTTCTCAGAATTTTGCGATTGCTGAGACGAAAGAATCTGGTATTGATTGTACGGTACGCGAGTCTAACATTGGTAAGTCTTTCTTGAATTGTTGCTTTAGATGTCCTACACTTGGGCTTCCTGTTTGTCCACTGATGAAGTTATATCCGTTGCTTTAGTTAATGTAACCGCCTTTCCCCATTTTGCGTAAAAAGAACAATGAGTAAAAGCAATGCTATTTTTGTCAACAAATATTGTTCACTATTTAACAAATGAGTGCGATATCGTGTTATCAGTCGGTGGACTAATGCGCTTATAGGGCTTCGTGTGGTTATTGCATCTGTTGCCCCACGCAGCAGTTCTCGAAACCAACTGGTTCACTTTGCTCTTATATCGTTTCGCTTTCTTGTCTATCGAACACCTTTTTTCGTTGATTAGAACGGAGGGACATTCCAAAAGTTGCTCAGACGTCATTAGATGGTGTTAACTGCTCAGAGTGCCGGCCTTCTTCGTTTTCTTTATCCAACACCTCTGGGTCCAACGTTGGGTCGAGCGAACGCAACAGTGAAACTGACCTGACTAAGCAGATCCTACAGGCTTTTCGGACTGGGGACACCGTTGGGATGCTGGCCGTTGAATCGCTCTGTTGCGTACCCTACTGCATTGCCTTCTTTCCTCAGTCACCATTGGCAAAACCAATCGTTGGCTTATCAGCACCTGGTTCTTCGGATAGTCTCACTTGGACACAGTTTGTCCAGGAACTTCTCTTTTCTCGGTCTCCATTACTGCGCCACCTTACCGTATTCAATCTCTACCAGTCCGTCATTTTACCCCCTGTGCCTGTGAGTTCTTCCACTGATGCTGAATGGTCTGTCAACCCAGCCGTTCAACTAGTCCGGCTGCTCTTTAGCTTCCACTCGGTACGTTTTATTTTGTAATTTTCTTTCTGAACATGTGGAAAATATATCATAAGGTTTTATGACAAGGAACTTCCCATTTCCAAACCCACTGATTGGTTACGAAGTCTGACGTGCTAGGCGAATTAATTTTAAACCATTTTGACTGTAGTCTGCGTCACTTATTTGTACTCGAGAAGTATTGGGATTCATTGTACTCTTGTTAAATTAGCCAGGTTAAGATGGTCGTGTGTAGTCTGTATGCGATTGACTACACTGCAAACTGCTGAATGTATCATTACGAATCGATTAATAACTTGACGGATGCCTGTATTTAGTTATGTGTGTGTTTGAGCTGATTTGCCTCGATAATAGCAAGGAAAATGTTGATGGATACTCCTAAGTGTGTGCTCAAGTCATTACATTACATTACATTACCCTCTTAATCGATTTGTTTTTTGTTGGTTTTCAGTGAATTTACTGAGGTTTTCTCAGCGAGTTACTATGCATGCTAAACCACTTGTTTTACACCGCGGGGTTCTAGTGTAATCACAGCTAATTGCTGTGTACAACAATCGTGCACTAATGGCATCACGGTTGAAAAGAACCGCTGATACTGCACGTCACAGCAATGTGGGCTTTGGGATCTTTAAACCTGTCAAGCGCTACAGGTTGTTTGAGTTCGCACGGTCACCGGATTTCAATCATTTTTTTCTGTTATCTTATTTGAATTGAGTTTGTACTTTGTTAGCTCACGGGACTGCGATTATCTAAACTAGCTTCTGTCGAATCTCAAGTTTATAATGCACTTGAGACAAATGTGCAGTTGTTAGGTATCCAATCATGGTTGCATGCAGTGTCGTTACCCACGTACGCGCTAATTTGGAGAGATATCATTGACCAACCATCTAGAAGATGACTAGAACCTTCTTTTGTGAACCTTTTCCAAAACCACTATGTTACTGTTTCTATCGTTATCACCTGATGAAATTCTTCTCTCTTCCTTTGCAGACTCTTGTTCCAAAACATGTGGCTCATGTGGACCAGTACTTCCGTCTGGTCGCGCTTTTGTTACGGCATATTCACGAACACGGCATACCTTTTGAGGAAGCGACCGACCATCTCATTCAAGAGGTTAATTGGTTGCGTACCACAGTAAGTCTAGGCTTCGCCAATGTGCTAGGTAGTATGCATGATGTCGACACCTAGTCGGGTACGGTTTCCTTATCGTTATTGGTTTGTTTCTAGTGGACATCCCGCTGATGGATTAGAAATAAATTATGAAGCCCTGGATCAATCCACTTGGTTGTTTTCTTACGAACCGCGGTTATGTCATGCATGGAGACAGGCAAAAGGATAACATTTCTATCGCCTTCAGTGCCTAAATTCATGCAGACTCGCTTATAGAGGCTGACGCATTCCACTTCGATGGATTTGTTTGATAGACGTCTTAAATACCTGGTCATCCTGGCATCCTTTTCACTTCTGACGGAAGTCTGGCTGTTGTAAGTAATACACATTCAGCCGGCAGTAGGTAACTAGCTACCTAAAGCGGACTCGATGCCTTTCAGCTTCTGCTGCGGTTGTGCCATCTATAAAGACCAGCCTCGGAGGGGCCTGTTTTTCTGTTTTTGAGTTTCACAACCCCGACAGTTTTTGGTAGCAATTTATAATTTTTGTGGACCACGGTCCCATAATGCCTTCTTATTACCGTGAACCCGGTCTGGATAGTCGCTTGATCGCTTGGTGCGCTTGGTCAAACCAGAAAAAGTCAATGAACGTGCGATCCAGGTGCTCTGTTCATCACTGTCGCATACAAGTGGTCAAAAGTGATGCTAAGACTACAACTCATCTATCAAGGGCGCGTGAAAAACAACCAATGGAATCTGTCTCTCAATGAAAAACGGTTATTCCATTGACAGTCATGTAGTCCCGTTATGTTCGGAGCTGGTTCTCCTCATAATACTCGTAATTACGCTGTGCAACAGGGCTTCCACGAGGTCCTGAAGACTGCATACTCATCCGATGGTTCGAAAGCCATGCCAACCATCTCATTCGTTTGTTTATTTGAATGGTTTAATCCTTCTGTGTGTACTCACATGTTCGATGTACGGAGGAAACAGAGTACTCTGGTCCTTCCTCGACCCCAAACATACTAAGACCGTTCATAAGTTTCGTTTGGCGTGCACGTACACTCAAGCTTATTCGCACCCACATATCCCACCAAGCCTCTTACTGTCTCAGCTCGGCTTTCATGATCTTGGTTTACGGTTTACTGGTTCGTATGCGGTGCCTTGTTCTTACCTGATCAATTAGTAAGTCCACCACCTCAAGTCTTTTTCTATTTATTCGATCCATCGCACTACTTATGTCTGTCATGTACATCTTAGGCATGGAACGAGTACTGTTTCACCTTGGATGAACGATGTAATAGACTGGTTGAAGGACTTTTTTTATCAACCTTCCAACAAATACAGGTATATGCTAGAGGGTCACTGTAACCAGACTGCGAGCAACAGTTTCTCCAAAAGAGTTCATATTGTTTAGTTTACCAAGCAGACGACTGGTGGTCAAGCGACTTCCTTTTTGCTGTAGGTAGCGAGCTTTTGTTGAAATTCTTTCCGATCCGCCCCATTTCTGCGCACAAGTACAATTCCGATGGCAAGATATAAAGCGCATTGTATACGGAACCACCATTGCTTTCTTTTTTATAAAAGCACTTTTTGCGGCTTTCTTTTACTTCGTTTACGCTGAGTTCCTATCAGGAGGCACAGTTTTCTGTTGGTCCTCTCAAGCGGCCTTTGTAGAACTGACAAATGCATCTTCTGACTCACTATTCCTACTTTTCCTGGTGTGTCTTTTAGATCGCTTCTCGAAAGTCGCAAGATAAACGTCCAAACTCTGAACTCAGCTCTTTACAATCAGTTCATCCTGCTCCGGGAGACACAGATTGTCCACCATCGCGAAACACCTCCGATCAGTTACTCTGTGGTCACATGCGTATCTGCAGTGCTTTGCTGGCATTTCCTTGTATCACGGAAACGCCCGATTCGCCGACCTCATCGAAGACCAGTAGTCCAGTATCACCAATGCTTGTTGGTTACACGGCATTTCAGAAGCAATATCTCACTCCTTTGATTACTGTAAGTAATTTGTGGCATTTGTCCTCGGATATATATATAATATACATATGGGTTGTCTGGACTCTACGTAAACCCTGCTCCCACGTTTTTCACAGCTGACAAGTGAACTGAACCACATGCAGTTGTACTGGAAGCACTCTCTTGGACCAGCTTAAATTCAACGCGACGCTTTCTATGAGCGCAGTGCATTTCGGATGAGCACCACTCTCAACGTTTTGATCCGATGTTAAGTAACATATCCGAGTGGTCTATCACTCTTGACCTAATGGATATATAGACTTGAGGTCGTTCAGATAGGTACTATTTGAACAAGCCAGTCCAATCGACAGTATCCTTGAGACCCACTCGGAATGCCTTCTGACAGAACCAGTTGTGCAAAGTTCCTTTCAGATAGAATATGTTAATGCTGTATGATTGTATTGCGATCAAACGTCCCAAGCTCGCATCTCACGCAATCCCACTCCCGGTATGGTAGTTATGAAATACAACAATCCAATGAAGTCTGCTTCGGAAGATATTTTAAAAATTTGTTTTAATCTCTCCAAATGGTCCTAAGAAATCCGCTTTGTTTTATCACTTCCAGGTGGATTCTATTGGAACATGCTGAATACATCTCAACCAGGTCAAACTTGGGGGACTGATGGAGTTTTTCNCCAGGTGGATCCAATGGAACATGCTGGATACATCTCAACCAGGTCAAATTTGGGGGACTGATGGAGTTTTTCTAATTACAACCATTTTTCCCGCAATTGTCAGCTAACGGTATTAAGTACCTCTTGGTGATGCTCTCTGTATGAATGTTTAAAAACCAACCTGGCCGGTTGAGAACATAAGGGGTTAAGCTAGGTAACTTGCTACATCACACTTTGTATGCTTTGATCAATCTTACAACATATTTCTGTTATTCCTTTCAGGATATACTCCAGTCCCTGCTTTTTCCTGCCCGAGAACAGGACGATATGACCCCTTCGACAACTTGTGCTGGATTCCTATCTGACAGTTCCCTAAACAGTGTATTCGAGTTGTTACTGGCTCTGGCCAAACGTGACCCCTCGGCGGTACATCTGTTGTCTTCGAAATTATGCCGTTCCTGTTTCCCTGGTGAGTCAGTTTCTAACCACAGCTTGTCAAATTGTCGTAGTAGTGACCTTTTTTCCCCTTCTTCCTCGGGAGACGATGCGAATGCTTTGGGAGTCACCAGGCCCTCTCAGATATCATACGAATATGGAATTCTTGTCTATTTTCGCACTGTGTCAACATGATCGATACCTTTTCGCAAAGTTCCGATCCCCTAATTTCGTAATAAAGTACCGCCTATTTGGGACGTTGCGAAATATCCTCCCTGGAGTATCGTCTGGCTTTTTGCCGATCCTGGTGTCCATATTATGGACATTTCTTACAGGAGGTACACAGGGAACGCAAACTGGACTACTCTGGAGAAAGCAACGACTAAAACCAGTCAATTAGAAAATACATAAGCTGCGCCCGACGGTTTTTGCGTGGATGATAAAGTTGCCACGTAATCAGGTTGCAACCTATTCAGCTGTTCATGAAAGTTGGTGGTATAAAGTGGTTTGGCAATCGCAATCGAGATTTTGTCCCGTAAGGGAAGTCAGTTTATGCCATCATCATGCTGTTTCTGGACCTCTTACACTAGTAAACCTAAAAGTGACATGGTGAACCGATTTTTTCAACAGCTATACCAGTTGCAGCCCCACTACTTTGTGCCATTTTTATCTGCCCATAAAGAATCCGCATATCAGTTATTTTGGTCACGTGAACATGAACTGCTCTAAACTGTGGGTATCAATTGGGTATCACATGTTTTTGCACTGACTACTTACCCAAACCGTACCAGATCAGCTATGATGATGGGGAAAACTAATTTGTCTGACATCGGGTTTGCTCGAAGTAATATTTTTTCGAAGATAGCAGGGGGCGTTTTCTTTCGCGTTGAGCTGCGCTACTTCATTGATCTGGCATCTAAATGTGATTGTCTCGTAGCGTCTTGCACTTATAATTGAAGGCTATGGCTATCCGACATATTTTAATCAAAAGCAGGGTATTTGTTTCACTGGGAATCCGGAAGAAGCCCCGCAAGACGGATAAAAAAACAACTCACCTAGCACTAACCTAACTCGGTTGAAAATCCGTAGAGTGCCAATCATGAAAGCAAGTAAGAAGTAAAATGTAAACTAATTATATTCAATCATACCTACAACTAAGGTTTATTTCACGGTCTCAGTGGACACAGTGTGTGTACAACACCTCGAAACTTAGCGTCCTCCAAAGGTGATCTCCGCAAGAGGGGGATATGGTGTTTTTCATATTTCGTTTATATGGTTTGTATAGAATAGTTAGTCACCTACATGGATTTTACGATGTTTTTCTACCTGACTGTGGTTCTGGCGCTTTGGATTCGTCAGTCGCTCTTGAGCCTTGAAAATTCCATAGGTGCTTGCGTTATCTGGGCCTTAGAGTGCACTACTTTTCGTGGTTTCTTTGTCAAGACTTATTTATTTGTGGGGCAACATTGCCCAGAATTTGTTAATAACCACCGTTTGGACAAACGGATGCTTACTTAGAATCTATGAGAAAACGTATTTATGGGCTTCTAATCAAACAATGACTTGGTATGAAAGCCATTGCCAACAAACTCACCTGAGCTGGCCATTGCTGTCTCGGTGGACCTCGCAACGGAATAAGTCAGTGGTTAGAGATATTGTCAGACATGGCCTAGTCGACCCTAATTTGGCGCTCGTGCATCCAAGATGTTGCCTTTACTTCATAACTTCCTCTCCGGCATCCCCATTGGAAACTCTACTGATACCCCTGTATTGACAATACCGCCTCCAATGCGTAGCTATCTACCGCTTCTCCCTAAATCATCGGCGAACGAATCTCTGACAGCTGATGATGATTATATACACCTACAATCTAACATGTGAGCCGATAACCGAAAACGTTTCAAGCAGGATATGATAGCCTCACTTCGGATACATCCTTATATGTTTTTTCGCGCGTGCTCTGTTTATCTAAACATCCCATTTCAAGATACCTATTCACAGAAAGCCTATCAATTTCAGGCAACCCAGTCTCCATGGTAACATGTGTCAAACTAAAAAGTTGTAAATTCTATCTGTTACCGAGTCACCTTCCGTTTTGAATGATTTTATTTTGTTCTCAAAGGAAGTAATTTTTATATTCCATCGAATATCACTTGCATAGGGTGCCTCCGACTTCTGTTGATCGCCTGTCTGAGTCCATACGAACTGGGTGCTTGATTTTTGTAGTCTCTGTGCGTTTACCACTTTCCTGATGTAGCGTAACCGTCAACTCCATAACCCTATCATCTTGAAACGTCAGCTTATACCCTGTGTAGTTCCAGTCCTCAGTTTCTATCTGCGGCGTACTCATGCTTTCCAATACTTTTCCCGCCTTATTTCATCCTTTCACAGATGACTTCGAACTTTCAACCTATCCGTGGGATTATACTCCTCCGCCAATTTATAGTTCAGCTTCTAAGACTTCTCATTTCGTCGGACTCCGCAACGGTGGAGCCACGTGTTACATGAATGCGATCCTACAACAGCTGTTCTCACTTATTCCTATCAGAAACGCTGTTTTGTGTGCTAGACCGGAACTTCGGCTCAACGAAGAGAATGTTTTGGGCAGCAAGGAGTCTGACGTGCTTTTAATTGAAGCAGCCAAAATCTCTCCTCCTGCATCAACGGATTCGGTAAGTCCGCTTTCTTCACTGCTGGAGTCTCACTTTCAGTTGTTCAACTGACTGATTGTGATATCTTTCCTTATTTCAGCCCATTAGCGCACCACTAGAATTCGTGGTCGCATCGACTCGATCTCTGCGATCCTTTTCTCTCTCTCACTTTATGTCGCTCCTCTTTCGTATTTCGTCCGTTTTTAGCCGACTGATCCCACGTCGGGTGACGCGGAGAAACCAGAATCAGAGGTTCGTACACAAAAATCCTCGGAAGAACGCAAACCGCTCACTGGCGAACAGACGCATCAACTTCGTTTACTTTTCCATTTGCAATCCATATTCGGACATTTGAACCATAGTCTGTTGAAATCCTACAGGCCGACCGAATTTTGGCATGAATTCAGGTGAGTACGTCTTTTGGATTGGCTGTATTTTCCACGATTCCAGTAATCCAGTCGTTCAATAGAACAGTGCGGGTGGGTGTCAACGCGTTTGCACTCAGAAGGGTTGAATACAGCTGCGTTACAATCGTTGACTATGGTTTGCACGAGTTCACCACGAAATTCACGTGAATTCTGCATCAAATAACATGTAGTAACATGTAAACAAATTTGACATTTTTTCGAGTGTTCGGACAATGCGATGGTATCCACTGTAGAACGCAGTTATTGGCACAAAAGTTGGTATGCATCTGTAACCATCCAGCTGGTACTAAATCTTAAAAGCATTACTTGGAATGCACGGGTTTTCAATCAATCGGTCGGTATTCTAATTCTCAGTGTCTCCAGACCATCATCCGACCAACCCGGTGTCTTGTTTGTATTGCTTAATGTGAAGAATACTGTCGTGGTAGCCCTTCATCTATGACGGCGCAGCTTCACAACAACTTTGAAATTGATTGAATCTAACACAAGTTCTAGAAGACCCTTTTTAGCAAAGCCCCTGTACATTTGTACAACCAGTCTTCCCGGCCGGCCAGTTTTGAGGATGCGGGCAAACCTAAGGGAGTCTTTGTGCGTACCATCATGGTGCAAACAGGTTGCTCCATATGTAAACGAATTGCCATTCCAGTTCACCTTTATCTTGTGTCCTTCATGTTCTTTTCGAGGTTATTCTTCATTATTTTGTATCGACCTGTTTTTCCCATCACAAGATTCGTTTCTGAACAAGTGAAATTGAGTGAACAGCAAGATGCACTAGAATTCCTCCAAACTCTGGGAAATGATGTGGACGAGAGTCTGTATTTGTGCAATATGTCCAAAGCGGTGGAGGAAGTTCTGGGCGGAACGTTTGCGGATCAGAAAATCTGCATCGACTGTCCACACCGGTAAGTTCTTTCTGGGCGATTAGTGGTTGATCAAACGCACCTTACCACCTTATTCGTTTACGATAATTCGAAAGTTTCCGAGCCTTACGGTAGCTGGAACCACTATTTGCTTAAGGCAGCATGGACGAGCTGGCTGTCACTTTGAAAACAACCAGTTGCGGCGAGATGGCTCAAGTGGTTAGAGCGTGAATTTACCGACCGGAAGGTCCATGGTTCGAATCTGACCTCTGCCTTTCGACTTCTCCTGTCTAGGCTTTGGGCAACTTGACAGTATCCCGGTCCTCGTGCTCCCTTTGGGTGGCATGGCAGCTAGGCACCGGAAGGGTGTTACAGCTGAATGATTACCTTATATTTATTATTATTGTGTCTGTCGTACATGTTGTCGATATTCGTTTTCGGAGTGGCCTTATGCAGGAACCGACATCAAATTCATGGTCGCAAACGGTTCGTCGTCCCGGTCCCTCAAGCTTTTCAACAATTTCTCTGAATGATCCCTAGTGCTGAATAGGCCATGGAATTGGGTTTTTTTCCCACGGCTCTTCATCGTGTCAAACGGTTCCATACGGTACGCTGTTTTACTCTTTTTTCTTCGCATTTCTACACTGTTCCGGATATTGATCACGTATAAGTTTTCATGAATTTCCCCGAATTTTACACACACGTGATCAACACTTTTTCCGTTTTAAATTAGTCGGACAGTCTACCTGTGTCAACCCATCTAAATATCTGTGACAGGGTATCGTTTCCTTTCACTTCAACCAATGAGAAGACTAAAAAGTAGAAAGTGTCAACTTTCCGTTAACCGGACTCAGGTTGTAAACTCTGACATGTACTTTGACCTAATGGACGCCTTGTTTGCCTTTTTGGATTTTTCCTCGCTAGAAATCTAGAGTAAATTGTTGTATCGTGGGTGGCCGTCGATTGGTTACGCCTGCGCTGAGCCTGCCAGGCTACGCGATAGGGAGAAGAGAGAGAACTCGGGATACGGCTGTATTGTCAGGACAGAACATACAGAACGTCTGCGTAATATACAGGGTGACTAAATGGCCAAATATGGTCGTTCACTTGTTCGTTCTGTACAGCCAATGGGGGTGTTCCGGTCGTGAGGACCTTCAGGCCCACTACGCTGGTCGTACGTTGCTGAGCCGTGTTTGGTGAGAGCCGCCAACTCACCTACTTTCCGGACGTGTCGAACCGATGGTGACCTTGGGGATGCGTCACTCTCTGCATGTGCTTTTTTCTGTCTGGGCGCATCCTGACATAAATGCACTTGTTTTCCGAAATCATGAAGTGCAGGAAATGTAAGTTCGGAACTTCTCAAACAAGGGTCTAATTGCACACAATTCTGAGCTCCAGATAGCTCTGCGGTTATGGCGGAAAATTACTGGCCGTAAGGTCCGTAATTTGTACCCAGCGTCAACATTTCGACCGTTATTGTGCGGGCTCGAGCAACCTGGCAGCGTCTCTGTCCTCATGCTTCCTTCGTGTAGCATGTCAGCTGGATACCAAAGGAGTATTACAGTTGAATATTTACTACCGTTGAGTTCCCCGACACAACCTTGAGTCACACGTTGGTTTGACGACCCCGAATATCAAAGGAAGTGGGTTCGAAATTTTATAGTACTAATTACACAAACGCACAGAGGGAATTACCATGGTATCAAGTTACGTTCAATAACTATATCATTGTATTTCATTCAAGCGCCCACTACCCTCTTCTACCTCCAATAGAAATCGTTCACTCATCACATTGAGACTTTGTCATATTTATTTCTTTTTTTTCCAGATATTCGCGAAACGAATCTTTCACCACACTCAATGTGGACATTCGTAACCACCAAAATTTGTTACAATCCTTGGAACAATATGTGAAAGGAGATCGTCTGGAAGGCGACAATGCCTACTGGTGTGAGAACTGTAACAAGAAAGTGACCACTTTGAAGCGCATGTGCATTGATCGGTTACCAAAGGTATTGGCGATTCAACTTAAAAGATTCGACTATGACTGGGACAGGTGCGTTAGTGTACAGCATAACCAGCACGTTGTTTGGATTCTGTAATCTTGGTGTGGTTGACCGAATTTCAGTCAATCAATTTGTCTACCATATGTGACTTACGTGTTGTAGTGGTAAATCCTTGAACTACACGATGGGATTCGACCGCTTGGCTGTCTTTGCCGCATTTCATACCTTTAGGTTGTCTGATTCGATCTGTTTTCAATTGTTACTTTTGGTCCGTTGGATAACAGCCTCATTGGCTCGGGATACCAAAATCGAAGTTTACAGAACTACTGTAGGCTTCATGGATGTGTCTTAGAAAACCCTTTGAAGCAGTTCGGCGACCCCACGTGAATCTGAGTGTGAACCGCGAGGTGGCCCAAGTGGTGAGAGCGCGAATTTACTGACCGGAAGGTCCGTGGTTCGAACTCGACCTCTACCTGTCGACTTTCCCTGTCTAGGCTTGGGCAACCTGGCAGTATCCCAGCCCTCGTGCTTCCTTCGGGTAACATGGCAGCTAGGCACCGGAAGGGTGCTACAGCTGAACTGTAGCACTAAGCTCGACCCTTGACAGGGAAGCTGATGTCACCTCTCACCTGTTCTGTGTAATCATCAAGGTGAAATTTTCAGTCAGTGCTTGCTTAACTTGTTTGCCTCTACCTGGGTAAAAGAAACAGTCTCAGCCAACTGGAATGAGTCGATAGTATCAGACTACAGCACAAGCTGTATTATTGTACGACTGTGAAAAATCTTCATTCCGGGTGAAGGGTCCTTGGGTCTTTGACCACCGATATCTCAGAACTTTAGCTGGAATCGGCTGAAACGAGTGGATTTGCAACTAGGTGATTAGGGAACGGGTCTTTGGTGAAGCGTAAGGTACTTCATTCAAGAATGCATCCAGCTTTGCCAATTAAGTTGGATGGGCCGTGTGTTACGCGTGTAGACTCACTGCTTGCGGAGAAGGACGTGGTAATTGTCTAACTTGGAGTAGCGGAATCCTACAGGTGGACAGAATTTGACAAGGCAGAAGCGAATGATTGATGACACAAAGAGTTTGGATGCTGTTGACACTGTTTATCCTCCAGAATGGGGCCGCTTGACCCTCCTTAAAGATCTGGTGGCTAACAAATGTCATTGGCGTTCATGCTGTCAACTTCTGTCCTGATTGTCTGAGTATTGGTGTAGGTGTTTGTAGTAGGCTAACTCCAGGTTCACGTCCCTATCCCATTTATTATTTCCCCTATAAGGTTTTGTTAAAACGATCAGAAGTGGTGACATGGCAGTGAGGCACCCATATTTTCTTCCGGTGTTTCTGTTTCGGAATAGTCTGGAAATCTCTCCCGCAGAAAATAAAACCCCGTGTATTCGTTCCGATTACGAATCTAGACAGGTGCAGAAGATCCTCATCGGGATATTATGTCCATCTTACAAAGAATAATATCTGCCATGTTATTAACCCACTGTTTGATACCTTATTTGTTGACCGTGTTGGGGCTAGATGACCCATCCGGTTGGAGCGCGAATTTACTGACCGGCGTTTCCGTGGTTCGAACCCGACCTCTACCACTCGACTTCCCCTGTCTAGGCTTGGGCAACCTGGCAGTATCCCAGCCCTCGTGCTTCCTTCGGGTATCGTGGCAGCTAGGCACCGGAAGGGTGTTACAGCTGAACGGTTTTTTTTACTTCACCTTGCCTCAGTTCTAGGTCGTGACCTGATCAAAACTTATCCACGTCCCTGCTGATAGTGTCGTATTTACCTTCGATTTTCCTTAATGCTGATCATTATCTTTTCTTTTCGTTTCCTCAGAGGTGTTGCAATCAAGTTCAACGACTACTTCGAATTTCCTCGTGAACTGGACATGTACCCATACACGGCACAGGGATTAAGTAGTCAGGTTCCAAACGCCACAGTGGACTTGACAAGCGGGGAGACGATGGAAGAGTTGAACTCCGAACAAACTAACCCTCCGCCCGAAGAGGACGGGGAATGGTTTGCGAACCCATCCACTCGGTACACACTCCGGGGCGTCGTGGTCCATAGTGGCCAGGCGTCGGCTGGTCACTACTACTCTTTTATCCGACACTTTTGTCCGAAGACAAAGACATATAAGTGGTACAAGTTTGACGATACTGAGGTGGGTCCCCGTTTAATGCGCAGTTATCTAAATTCATCTGACTGATAGAAGGAACTGAATCGGGTTGTAGTGTCTCCTGGGAGCGCTCATTCCAACCATGATTTCGCCCTGTGAAGCTTGCTAGAACACAGAAGCTTATACCAGTATATCACTTGGTGGTGCCACTTCATGTACACCACTGTTCACAATTTTCAACCATTCAAAGTGGTTTTGTAGACTTTACACAGCTTTGAATAGCGTCGATAGTGGGGCTGTACTTCACCGGTAGAGTGCCCACAGCGGACTGAAAAGATATACAAAGAGGTTACGCATAAGTTTCGAGTCAAATAAGATTCTCCGATGAAATCACTATCAGAATAGCAGGTCCCTGCGTTATTGTTCCTTCTAGAGGATGTCCTACTCTAAGGCAGACCACTCCGCAGGCCAAGATCAGTGGACCGTTTCTCGTGAATGATGTGTTTTTGGAGAGAAAAATAGTTGCCACATACGGTCAACTAGCGTTCGAAGTGGATAAACCGGTCTACGACCGCTGATCCATTGGTGTCTATGCACAGTAGGTAGGCCATAAGCGATTTGTATGGAGCATGTCGATGTAGATTTGAGGGAGTACGATCAACGGACAAACGCACAGGGGGTTGTTGAGAGCCATCGCTAAGAATAGTAGCGCAGCAATAAGCACCAGTGTTAGTTCTTTCATTGCAAGGCACTAATCCCTTCAACTTTCAGCATAACACTCTCCCCGGATAAATGACCTCAGTGATGCTTTTTGGACATGCTTGTGACCACTACATCTAGGTGAGAGAGAATAGCCAGGCGGCAAACTCATGATACCCACTGTTATTATTGTCTCCTACTGTGAAAATTGCCTCGGCAAATTTTGGCTGGAAAGCTGACCATGTAGATCTCGCGCAGCCAACCATTTTATCATACCAAATTCAGCACATCTAATGTTGACCCCAAAGGGATGTCGCCTTTTTTGTAGGGCCATATTGACAATGTTTTTCAGACCCATTTGGTTTAACGTGCCCAAAATCCGTTTACAACATTACTCGTTCCGTTTCAGAACAGCAGTATTTGTTCTATTTTATGCATCCGGCCATCCAGAGTCTGGTTTATTGAACCCTGTTACGTCATTTCATATGTCTGTCATTTTATTCAGGTTAGCATTTTTGTCCAATAGTCTGAACAGTTTAATCAGCAGTAAACGGGTGCTTTGGCCAATCAGTCAGCGAAGTGAATTGGATAGAGTACATTGCAGCTTAATCAGCTGGTCGATTTTACGCTCCATTTTCGATTGCTGCCAATACACTACTGAAACGCTTGAGAGCCGCCCTCCTGCATTTGTCCCACCTAAGAGCCGTGATGAACATCAGTGCTATGTGGTCTATGACGATGTTGTTAATGTAGAACCTCTCAACTCCATTTAGGTCACTTTATCTCGAATGGACGAAGAAGATGAGGCGAAGGCAGCATGGTTTGGAGGTGATTCTACAAGTGGTCCATCTGAAAGCAACAAATACACATTCTGTTGGACGAATTCTCGTTGGTGGAGTGCTTATATCTTGTTCTACGAGCGTGAAGACTTCCAGTCTCATTTTGGTGCGTCCATATTCTATGGTTTTCTTTCTTTTCCCTTTTTGGTGAATCAGTTGTAAGCCGTGTACATCTTTCTTATGACGTCCGCTAATCATTCTTTCTAGTCGTTTGCTTCAAGGACGTATTGATCTTAGTGCATCATGACTCACATCACACTTTGCCTTTCTACTGAAAGCAGCCAATTGTGTAGTCTGAATCACAAGTTTCTTCTCCCTACTGTTACAGTGTAGCTCCGTTTGGACACACAGGCCTCAGACCTGCATGTGCTAGCGAGGCGTAACCGAAAATAGCGATCGATTTCATTGACAAGGCTGTTGCTGATAAACATCTCTATGGGAACATTGTGTCAAATAGCTGCGCTCCAGTCTCGTAGAATGGCAGTTTTTCAAAGCCTCCAGACGAAACTATACAAAGTTAGATGGAACGAACCTAGAATAGCCTGATACTAGCGCTTTGGAGTGTTTACTCTAGAGTTGTGCGTTAACCTAATACCTTTTTAACCGTGGAGCAGTTCACATATTTCTCGCTTTGCGTCGTTTGCAAGTTGCTGTTGCGTGGCTTGAGGCTTGGATGACTTTCATGAACAGACTTTCGACAAAGTATGAAGCGTATGGACCCCCGTAACTGTAATCATATTTAGGATATGTGGATTATCGTTTGTACTTTGCTGGCACACGGCTGCTTCGTCTAGAGCCAAAGGACTCTCATTTGTTTCTCCAAATTGCTGAACTTCCATCAGATACATGCAAGATACACCAGTGCACGGCTGTTCTTCATTTTGGCGTACACTTCCTCCTTCATACACATGCGGGATTCTTTATGTGCGTCATATATATGCATTATATATATATATATATAGTATGAAATAGCCATGCCATTATATATGTCTTCCCTATTTGTACTCCATTAATCAGCGATAACCAAGGAACTCTCCATAACGCCTCGATTAAAAAAGATGGTTAACCGTGAAAACGTTGACTATTTGCACCAACAAATGCAGTTCCATCCGTTATTGAGTCGTTTTCTGGCCAGTTTGACCGGCGCAACCCTGGATANTATCTGCATTATATATATATATATATATAGTATGAAATAGTCATGCCATTATATATGTCTTCCCTATTTGTACTCCATTAATCAGCGATAACCAAGGAACTCTCCATAACGCCTCGATTAAAAAAGATGGTTAACCGTGAAAACGTTGACTATTTGCACCAACAAATGCAGTTCCATCCGTTATTGAGTCGTTTTCTGGCCAGTTTGACCGGCGCAACCCTGGATACTTGTTCTGTAAGTTCTGAGTCGATACCTTCATTGACGGTTAAACCCGATGTTGTTGATATTCGTGTGATTTTGAGCAACGTTTCTGTTCAATCACGTGAAAAACATTTGGAACCGATTGGGTAGTCATCGTTTTCGAAAGTCGGTAGATTTATTGCTGGGCAGCGTTTCGTTTTTGACACGAAAGCTTCGTCAGGCCAAGTGACTAGGTTCCGAGGTTGGTCGAGATTTAAGATGGAAAGAGAACCAATCAGCTAAGTCAAGCTGAATCTCTGTTGGGTGTCGGCCGAGGGATTTTAGAGTATTAGGGGGGTTGAACAAGTGTTGGGTTGGTGAGGAAACCTACATGTGTTTGGGTCCAGTCTAGGGTCTAGTTCGTCTGGTTCGGTTCATTTGATGATCTCTCTTGAACGTCGTTTGAACTTCCTGTCCGTCTGTGTGGATGAGCTAGTGCTAGGATAGGTGTGTAAGAGGGATGCTGTGACCTTTGGTCGGGTTGGGATTTCCACCCCCAACCCCCGGTTTTTTATAATGATTATACGTGGATTGACAGCCACACCGTCACGTGTCAACTTGGCTTATCTAAGACCGCTTTCCATACGCTCGCCAGATCCACACACTCGATTCTATTCACGCTGTGATGCTTAGTAATTTCCACGGCCTCGGCTGTCAGCCGCTGTGGTGTGAATCGCAGTCCCCGTCTTAAGACTTCCACATTCTCCAGATCTATTCTGTCTCGTGTCTAAGGCATGTATCACCATCGCAGAGTCTTTGACCACCGTTTGGTATTCTTCTGCATTCCTTGGTGGTTTGTTTATCCCCCTTTTATGCTCACCAATTCTGGTGTGCAATTCCCTGGCAGTTTGTCCTCTGTGAACCTTAGCGCAATCGTTGCAGTTAATTTTATACACACAGTCCCTAGTCCTTTCAACCGGCAAGGGATCTTTCTATTGCACCAAAACTGAGCGTAGCGTTTTTCTCTTCTGGAAAGCTGCTCGAATGTTGGCTCAGTTCAACAAACTTTTTCGAAAACGTTCCTGTTCTTTCTACACCTGAGCTGAACCATCCCACGCGAAGTGACGCAGCTGTCAGATCAAGGGTTTATTTTCCTTAGCCCTTTTCCGATGCATTACTTGAGTGATAACAGGCTTCTGTCCAAAGGAGATGAATACTCCCTAAATGACCTTTTTCCGCTTTGGATTTTGCTCTTTTTTCTATATAACTATCCGTACCAGATGCTTCCGTCTAGATGTGAATCAATATCATCAGCGGTATGGTTCACGTGAATACTATGAGCAAAGAGTAATGAGTCTGAAATTTCTTGCACCAGTTTCGCACCAGTTTTCTCCATCCCATATTAGAACACAATACCGGTTTCTAAAGCGCAAGCATTCCTCTATTCGAAATCGCACGTAATTCGATTAATTTCCTGCGCCTTTTTTCCTGTTGTCTCTTTTCAGGCCAAACCAGCTGTATCGGAGGATTTGGCGCTCACAACGCTCAAGCTTCTCGTCAATTATTCGTTTACTGTGCGCTTCCAGAACGTCGCGCGAGATTGGTAAGTGATTGTTGTCTATAGCCACTCTGTTCAATTTATACATTGCTAGCGATGTGTTTCTGGTTTCACCATAATGCAACTGATGGATTTATGCGTATGTCTGGAATTCTGTATGGGTTGTGGCTCAGCAGTTAAGATGTAGCCAGTTTACAAAGAGCTTCGTGGTTCGTATTCTACTCCAGCGAGTGGTGTCTGATCCAGTGCTGACGTCCTTCCAAAGTTCTCTTTTAAAATGTGATACTTTTCCCTGCAAAACTCTACCTCAAGTTAGGAAGGTTTTGTTTAAATTGATTTCCCCACTCTGACAGTCGCACTGATGACGGAATTACTAAAGGAAACAAAGCTGTGTTGCTGAACGTATTCTTGTGTAAGTGCGATTATTTGCAAGTGAAATCGGCGTTAAGTGTTGATTACATTTTACATATTTCACCGGTATGTGCCGCACAGAAGCCTCACGTTTCGGCACAGGACTCGAGGTATTGCAACACTTATAAAGTTCGTAAAAACCGTTCAACAATCCATCACCATCTTCATTCTTCTTGAAGCTCATCTGGTGGGTAGGCCATAAACGGGAGACTTGGCAACGCCAAGGCGATTAGCAAATGAGTATATTGTGCCACTTGTTTGCAATTTGATGTTCATGTGGAATCTAAGGATGACGGGAACCCAGGGACAACGCCTACCCGATTAGCCCCAAGGGGGCTAAACCGGAATGTTTCCAGTGGTCTTATAAATGAGTTCTACCAAGGAATATATTCATTTCTATTTGGGAATCAGCCAAGCATTGTCCGCAAGACTCGAGAGAGTTTAGTGGTTAAGGAGCCAGCTTACAGACCGGAAGATCCGTGGTTTGAAACCAGTTTCAGCACCTCGACTGCTTCAATCTAGGCTTGGGCGACCTGACAGTATCCTAGTCCTCGTGAGTTCTTCCATCGGCATACAGCTGAAGGATCCGCATGACTCATAGTAGTCCCATTCATTGAGTATGGGACACAAAGTTTGTTATATGCTTGTGCATTCTAGTCCATTGGGTGCTCTTGCTGATTCACTCGTCTGGGCACTTCGTATCTTCATTCCTGATCCAGTTTATTTCATCCGACTGTCGGTCGGTAGTATAGCCATAGTTGAAGAATATTGCATGTGAATATAGAATCACAAAGTAAACCTCACCAATTGACTTTAATCTTGGGCGAGATGGCCCAAGTGGTTAGTGCGCGACTTTACTGACCGGAAGGTCTGTGGTTCGAACCCAACCTCTGCTTCTCGACTTCCCCTGTCTAGGCTTGGGCAACCTAGCAGTATGCTAGCCCTCGTGCAACCTACGGGTGGCATGGCAGTTGAGCACCGGAAGGGTACTACAGCTGAACGACTTTAATCACTTGAGCAACCTACCTCCAGAGAGTGAAATAATCCCGCTTATTGATCTTTAATATAAGATTACTATACTGTCGACTAATCAACCAACCGGCGATTTCCATCTGATCCCCTCACCCACAACTTCATAGCTGGATACAGTGTATTTCTATATCGTGACAAAATGTTCGAAACCCATCACATAAGTTGCTTGGTTGCAATCATACATAATAGCGATAGGGTGTGCTTTCTCGAGTAAGCACTGTGATTTGAGGTAACATAGGAGAGTTGATTATCCACCTCTTTTTCGCTTAGTGGAAATTTAGGGATTCATCAAACGCATTCCTTCACGTTTCGACATGTGTTCTTTTACAGAACTTGACATAATAGAATGGGTTTGAGAAAGAGCGTCAACATTTGCCTAACTTGTCGCCTCTGCTTTGTGTCTCAGTGAAGCTTTTTAATTACATTCCCTTTCTGCACACTGCCTGCTTGCATTTTTTTCACTCGCCACAGGCAATTGTGGATCCCATTGCTGCTCCGACTGGTGGCTCTGCATCCTGTTGTCCGAGAAAAGTTCTTACAGTGGACCTTGTTCAGTTCTCCAGACCGTGTCTGTGAGCTGCTTTTCGAGTGTCCCTACCCGGAGGTGCGTTTTGAGTATGAATACTCTCCCGCTGCTTGATTACGATTACCCGTAAAGTTTGCCTGCGTCTCGATAGAGTACCGCCTCCAATGAAATGCAACTCGAATTCTTCCGACGTGCTGTTTCGCCGTTGACAGGTTTCGTCCTTGCGTCCCACTCAACCTGCAAGTTGAGTGAGTAGGCGAGGGGGAAGATTTTTTATGATGGTCATCATCGAACGGACAGACGATTTTACTCATTGTTCCCAGTCTTCAAAGCCGTTGTCGTGCAAATGCTTCCTTGATAATGCTTAGGAATAACTCTCATTCAAATTTTGTGAATTTGTAAGAAGTGCATGGAGTCGCTCTCTTTGCTCATACTTTAGATGCAACGAAGTGGAGAAAATTGCATTTCTGTAACTGGCTCTGCAGTTCTTCACGTCCAGTCTTTAGCCCAGAAATTAACCCGAAAGAACTAACGGGAGAAACATCGATATGTTGTTTAGACTTGAAACTACACAATACTGAACAGAAACTAAGCCACGGGTTTTTTCTCTATCAGCTGCGTTTGCGGTCTAAACTTAAATGAATCTCCTCATTTCGTCATTCCTCGTTTCCATCTTCCTTGTTCAGGCATTGCAGTCTACAGCCCTGTAATTTCTGGTAATTACGCCTAAGTTTTGTCGCTGGTCAACGTGGCAAACTGTGTACGTGGTATCAAAATTTTGTTGCCCAGTAATACATTACAGCAACGGTCTAAGACAGATACTACCATGGGGCGAGGATATATCTGGTATCTTCTAAATGTGAGCACTCTTGGTTGGACGGAGAGGGGGTTATTCTTTGTGAACATGGATTAATGTTTACTACAGTGTTGGTAACTAGGGTTGTGAGCACTTTAAAAATCCACGTCTTACATCCAAATACCACGTGTTGTTTGCTCCAGGTTCGGTTTTTATTCGCGATCCTGATCGTGTACATTGCGCAATTCAAATCATCCACGCTTTGTCAAACGTCATTGGATTGTCTAAAATCCTTCGAGGAGACTCGCGACTCGTATTTCAACAACCCCAAGCTTCCCGATCCCGCGAACACGGACGCTTCGTTAGCCGCCCGGGCCGAATCTGCTCGCGAAATCCTTGGTTCGCTCATTTGTTCAACTGATGATACTCAGTGTGAGAAACCAAGTCTTACGGACCTGTTGCTACAAGTGGTCATATTACAGCTACGTGCTTCTCCGGCCGAGTTTATCAAGCGGGACCTAACCTCTAGCAAGCAGGTTAACCTGAGTGACCAGTATGGAGACGCCGGCTATCAATCCTCAATTCAAGCGCGTGCTCTTTGCGGTTCGTCCTACAGTCGGGCCTATCGAGACCTGTCGCACCACCCACACACATGGAACCAATATTTCTCTATCTTTCTGGACTATGTTAATTCTGGAGAAGCTGCTCGGCTTAGGCTGTTGCGCCTTGGCTTCGTCGAAGTGGTTCTCGGGTTAGTCAGGCGTGATGTCTGGTCCCATGAGTCCTAAGTTAACAGAAGGTTATCACAATGGACCTTTGAATGTTTTTCGAAATGCAGCGTGCTTATTACTAAACCACACTATCTCACGATATCTCTATTTCTTTCTTTCTTTCTTTCTGTCTCTTCCTGGGTGATGTCTGGTCCCATGAGTCCTAAGTTAACAGAAGGTTATCACAATGGACCTTTGAATGTTTTTCGAAATGCAGCGTGCTTATTACTAAACCACACTATCTCACGATATCTCTATTTCTTTCTTTCTTTCTTTCTGTTTCTTCTTGACCCATATGAGTTTTTCGACAGTATGTGTATCTGAGCAGTCGGATGATTAATACCTATCTAGCCGGTAGATGGATTGCTCGAAAGTACACTCACCGTTCACTTTCCGGTTACATCTTTGTTGTGACCATCCTAATCAAAAATGATGCACGTGCTTTACTTATCTAGCAGGTTCGCAGTGCTCAAAACATCGATAGGCTATCAAAGATACAGACTAGAAATGTCTTCCTTTGACAGAACACCATTTGTCAAATCAACCAGTCTTCAGACGGGAAATCTGCGCACTATGCTGAAGAAATACTGATGCTGGGAAAATAGGCTGGCTATCTTTTTTTACCTCTTGTTGTCGAAATTTGGTCAAATCATTGGATTACCGTTAGACTCCTAGTCCACCTGACAGTTTCAGAACATCAATCTGCACAGGGACTTCATCCTAAGTGCCATATTCAGTACAACCTGTTGTGTCTCATGTATCTTTGCTGGTGTTTTTCTAAACTTTCCAATGCTACATATTTTCACATTTCAGTTCTGCGATGAAGAATCAGCATGTGTTTACCCCCTCAACCTTGCCACACAGTTTACCATCTATCAGTTCAGCTGGGATCCGAACTCCCGAAGTTCTCAAACGTCAGTTTATTCGAATTCTCGCTGATCTACCCGACTACTTGAATTCAGAACCCAACCAACTGCTCACCAATGAACCATTATGCCCGCTGTTTTCGGTTTCTCTTGAATCGTTTGTTCTCGCTCTGACATCCCCTTATTCGTCTTATTCCACGCTGTACAATTATGGCACCAACTCTTCCTCTGGGACATCTTCAGCTGTGACCGCTGGCACAACAAACCTCTGGTCTGTTCTATCCCTTCTCATTCGGTCAATGGATGTGTCCCCCTACTGCCGAGTGCATACACACTCTTCCCCTAACAGCAAACTACCCTCTCCAGCTTCCAGTTCTGAGCAAACGACAACAGCAACATCCACAACAGCAAACGAGGACGTCAAATTTGTCGATGACTCCTCGGACATGGTGGCCAGCCAGCCAAGTTATCAGAATAATCCATATGGAGTTGGTCGGGCGGCATTAGCACCCATCTCGAACCAGTTGGCTGATATTATTTTCCGACCACGCAGTAACCAGCCAATGTCGTTTTTCTTGCGTTTTTGGCTCAACTCGGCCACTCTGGATCACGTCACCAATACACTGTTGGTAAGTTGCTCGAAGTGATGTAAGCTTTACTTCCCCCGCAAATTAAAACTGCAGTTTGTCGTTGCTCCGACGTAGCCGTGTTAGTTTGTACTATTCTCTGTCGGGCTAACCCACTGCTTGGTTCCTGAGGAACCTTATTGGAACACATAACCATTAATGAATTTGTTTTTACGTCAGGAGAGTTTAATACTCGCTAGCGGGAAATTCCCTTTTCAGTGGACTGTACGTTTTTTTACTACTGCTAAGACCACATTGGTGAGGCTATTTTGACAGCTAGCATGTTGTGGGCGTGATATTCAACCGGAATCATTGCTGATGACCTCTCTGTCTTCGCGCAAAACATCGACTTTCTGAGGTTTGAGTGAAACGTGTCTACTTGTTAGTCAGTTTTGCGACACTCGGTTGAGGCCCAATGACCTTGAGGTTAGTCGAGTAGTGCACGACGCGCAGTTGACAAAGAAGTTACACAGTGACCCTGTATTCTGCGAAATATCACAATCTTTGGATAAACCGAGGTAATCCAATAGGCCACTTTGAGCACCTCATGTATTTGACAGCTAGTCTGCTTCTAGCCTCGGTTAGCGAAATTCCCTCTTCAGAAGGCTCGTACGATCCGTCGACAAGGAATTGTCCGAAGTGAGGATCAACATCCTCGTTTGTGGAACATCGCGCTTTTCGCGATTACATCGAGGGTGACGTGTTGGTCAGAGTTAGCTTCTACTCGTCATCTGATCGAACTTTGGTTCTCATGAGGACGGAGCACATGGATTACTTTTGACCTGGAATCAGACTCAGTGTATAAGTTACGTAGGCTTATCGCGCCAGCTCAGGGAATGTGGTAATTAGCATTTATTTACGAGTGACAGTAAATAAGTCCTCTTACCTTAACGATGTCTCTTTTGAAATACTCCAAGAAGCAGGTGATTCAATCGAACCCGAAATCTTCCACCACAGGACCTCCTCAGAAAGCCATAAGACTGGTCTACTAATGAGTAGTTATCTCCTAATGTATGACCTCTTTTTGGTAACAACTGAAGTACCAGATCACACCACCCCATCCCCAACTGCTCTGTTGGGACTCAGCAGAGCAAAGCGAAATTGTGGTGCTGACACTGGTCACGAACTGCATACTAGCACAAGATTAGGATGCGGCGTTGCAAGTGCATTGCGGTTATTTGATATGGACAGTTGACGTTGTTCCTCTCAGTGCTGCTACTGAGTGAATAGATGAGCTGATGGTTAGGTAAGGCATTTGTGAAGTGTGACTTCGCTACTTTTCCCAATTTGATAGGAGGTACATTACTCGGCTGCCGATGGGCCTGTTTGAGTGACTGGGTGCTCTGGTATCATAGCACTGATCATCTAGATGTATGGATACTGTGCAACGTTGGTGTATTACTTTCGTTGACAATGATGGTATTCTTTGTCTAACTCTGGTAAGTAGCTCACCCATTTGCGCACTATTGAACGTGAACAGAGGATTCATTCGAGGTTAGAACGAAACGCGTTTTTGATGCTTTTCAGTCGACTGTACACGGCGATGGCTGTCTAGGACTTTGGTTGAGCCGCTATTAAAGATATCCAAGTATAATTTCTTAATGAGCACTGGTACATACGCATAGGCTCTGTGTTGATTGATGTTGCGAACCCAATTCCTGTTAACAAATTAGTTGGGATGTTGTTCAGGACGATGTGTGAACACTTATTGTTGGCTAAGATTGTATTCAATTGTTTGGATAGGACTGAAAGCACAATATAACAAATTCGCTGTATGGTAACACTTCCTGCTGGTGGATGGACTCCCGTTGGCTTGATACACCACTTTCCCGTTGTAAAAGTCGACTCTGGTGTATCTGTGTACGACTGCTATTAAATGACTTTAAGGTCGCATTGAAACGGTGAACCAAGAATCATGTGACTGATTAACTGCGTCAAGATTTGGTTATACAATATTTATGTGAACAGTGCACTTCTGTTTTCTATGCTATCATCCAGTATACTCTGTTCTGCCTTTGTTTAGTTTCTAGCGTATGAAAATCTCGATTTCTCCAAACTTACCTTGGATTGGATTGTTTGGGGAATCAACTCTTGTCAAACGGACGTTGCACTTCTCCTGTCCCTTCTCCAGTCATTACTCACCATTTCTGACTCACACAAAGCCAACCGCCTTCGATGGGCTTTAGGCAGTAAGTTCCTCCATTTTGACGGGTTCTTGTTTGGTAAGATGGACTTGCTGGGGGCTCGTGTACCGTATGGTTGATCCCCATAGACCTGTATCAATCCCCATGAAATGAGAGAAAGCTACCTGTTGGGCTCAGACACCCGTTCACCCCAGCGCTATGACAAGTGTGCAGTTCAGAAGGCTCGTGGACCTACTCCCGCGACACAATACTGTGATCGACTAAATCAAGTTAGCCGGTTCCACGACCACATCGCATACAGCTGTTGGGTAGTAGCGTTAACAATAGAAGATTCTAGTGAACCATGATGGATGAACTGATTTTCGAACCAAGTCGCTAATAAGGTGTTGTATCGTAAGGTAAGCCTCTGAATTTCACCCGTCAACCGCCCCACACGTGGCACACGTTGGTTGGTTTCATAAAGATTTGTGTAGAGCAATCGAACACCTGTTTTATGTCAAACAAACAATCAACATCAGTTAATCTAGGGACCACAACAGATGGTGCACTCCACAACACGTAGTTCCTCAAGCGCAGTCGACCACTGCTTTACCCAAGTAACATATTTAGTTTTAGGTGCTGACGGAATGCATAAATTATTCAGTTTAGTGGGACATTAAGGATTAAGGCGAATCACTAATACTACTGGTGTGATAGCTCATACTACTGATTAGGCATGAGAGTGATATTTGGTTTTCTTGTAACTCCGCTTCGCGTCTAATGGAAGGTGCACCAAATGAGGTTTATTACGGAACCTGTGGAAGTGCTTTGCAGCTCTTCTCCTTAAGCTAATAGTGGATTGCACATGCAAACGCAATCAAGGGCATCTGACAATAATCGATAATTAATATATGGTGAAACGAGCGCAGAGACTAAGTGGTGCAGCTATATAACATGGTAGCGCGCCGTGGACCATGTGGGTGTGTGGCACGTATTTTTACTGGCAAGTCGGTGCTTTATCTCAATGGAAGAAAATCATATCTGCGATTTCGAGCACTGGAAAATCGCAAAGCGATTGATATCCCACCATCCAAGTATGGACTGGCTGAGCCGACCCAGACGATGGTCCTCACGTCCATTCTACTTCTTCCACTTGGATTACACTAGCCAGAATTTGTGTTAAATCAGACCAGCAAACGCGGAAGGAAATTCTAATCACCGATGTAAACAAATTCTAATGTTACAGCCCACAGCACATTAACGAGGCCTGCTGCTATCCAAAAGGCAAAGGGAGACGTTTTGAATAAAACGTATAAATCTTTTCTTCCGTATGATAAAACTCACTAGAGGACAACCCCTCTGTACAAGTTCTATGCGGGATCAACAATGCCCTACAGCATGGCAGGAATCATTGCAGGTGAGAAGCCGGTATCGTTTTTCTGTGCCTAATACAAAAGCTGTAATGATTTGGTTACCATATGCAACCGATTGAAACAAGTGAACAACTAATCCGTCTATAACGATGCAGTCTTGAAATAGCACATCCATGTGCGTAAAGCATGTTGGAGCCCTGTGACTGTAGCGTAACAATCGAGGTAGTCTTTTAACACCAGCCATGTCGGCAAAAGCTTGCTAAGCTTTACATGAAATGGATATCTCTCCCAGTAGCATGCCTATGGTTTCCGGGTGTGCATTATGTGCTAGAGCGACTCAATACTGCAGTTTGGCCACTTCAATAACTGGTCATTCTACGTGGAAACAGGGATAGAGGGAAGTAGTGGTGGTCCCGGCAAACTGCATGTGAACAGTATGTATGTTTTCAAGTAAAGTGCTGCGAAACTTCTCAACAAGCATCCCGATCACGAGAGACCGCGCGACCAGTGACAGCCTGTAAGCGGACGCGCCTCTTATCCCTGACAGGTGCGCTAAGTTGCTCTGTCGGATGCCCCCGACATGTGCAGTGCACTGGCAGCAGCAAATGTTGCGGTGGTTCGCTGCCTGAATCCTTACTGTCCCACTAGAGTGAATATTTCAGGTGTTTTTGGTTATAACAGTGGTCAACTGCGCTTGAGAAACTCCCTGTTGTGCAGTGCACCACCTGTTGTGGTTCCTAGCTTAACCGACGCTGATTGATTGTTTAATATGAGACAGGTGCTTGATTGCTCTGCTCAAGTATCTATAAAATCGACCAGCGTGCCACATTTAGAACTATTGATGGATGCAATTCAGAGGGTACAACAGTCTATTAGCGGTTTGGTTCGGAACTCAGTCCATCCATTCTGGTTCACTAGAATCCTCTATTTTCAACGCTGCCTGGTCTGTTATGCCTTCTGCTCAAAGACTAAACGCCGTTCAGCTTTTGACGGGCATTTTCCTCTCATATCGTGCCCGATGATGTCTTTGTCCATGAGAACTGATTTTGCAGTATACGTCAGTGTATGTTATCCTACCCTTGTTTCATGGTGAGCAGCACGTTTATGTTCATTAGTTGTCATGTGATCTGTGTACCCTCTTTCATCCTAGTAGTTTTTTTACATCTCACTGATCGAATAGTGAAGCATTACATCTGCAATCCCTATACGTCATTGTTTAAGGTTGTTCCTATTCTTCTGAATGAGCTCTTTCCCAATGAGAGAGGATCGCATTCGCTTGACCATAACCAAGAGGCTTTTTGTACTGCTCATAGAATTATTGCTTCAAACATGGCATAGTTGAAACAAATACCAGTCTTTAATACTCGATCCCTTTCTGTTATCGCTACAACAGTTCAGTCATCAGTTTTGCGAATCAGTTTCTTCCAATCTACTCTAAATCCTGCTTGTTTTTGACCCATCTAACCAGCCTATTAACATCTTCAAGAACAGTTGACGCCACCCCGATATTGTAACACTTTGAAGTTTTTAGACGGTCCCTTGACCATGGGTTGCTGATTCGTCAGCGGCACTTTTGCCTGAAATCTTCAGAATAATCTACCTCCAGTATTGACTTTGTTGTGCCATTTTGCATCCTCAATTTTAACGCCCTCATCTCTCTTCATTAACATGTACAGAGGCATCTGGGTCTTGATTTTACGTATTCAAAAAAAAAAACAGGGTTCTACCTAACCATCCGACTTTTCAACCCTAAAATGCTGTTTTCTATTAGCACCATCCATTGGAAGTAGGTGACACTGATACTCCAATGTGAAGTGTCTATAGACGATAAGGTATCTGTGCGCTTGTTCAGCTACTTTGTTTCACTCACCACCAAGAGTTCTATCATTCCAGTTCTCTTCTCTCGATCACAGATGCTGATCGCACTGGATTGACCAGTTCTCGGCCTGAGAACCATTACCGACAATCGTTCACTCACTACAGCAGGGCGATTAAGATGTTTATGGAGCTTATCCTTGATGATCCGGTCGTCTTGCAGTTCTTCCAAGAGGACGATATTGCCCTAGACTGGTTACGACAGGTCAGTTTTAGATTGTGCTGCTCTCTGTAATGTGATTGGTCATCACCATCATCATTAGCAGCAACACCAGAGGAAACGCTGGTGCTTTACCGGCGTGTCAGTTCAAACATAAGTGGTCAGTTTACTCGATGTTCTATGGTGCGCTGGCAATTCTGGCGAATTGCAACCCCACACAGAGAAGCTAGTCAGGCTTTACTCTAATTGAATGTATGCCACTGCCTTTGCACGATTACTCGCAAATTTCGTTGTTTCATTCGATTAAATTTTTGCCCAACGAGCGTCTTAACTTGATTACCAAAGTTAGTGTATACCTTCACATCCATCGGTATAGCATACTTACTAACGTCCTGGTCTGTTGCGTGTTTACTGAAGTTCGACAATTTTTTATCACTCATCTTCCGATAAAGACACAAACGGCTTCAGTGTTGACTTAACGAGAGCCTTTGTAATTTCACTAGCTTCATCATATCTTACCTAAATTCAGTGGAATTCTTCCTGATGACAACGTGTGAATCGTTACTGCGCATTCGCAAACAGTGTTAGCTCTTTTTACACATGGTGACACTATATGACGTTGTCCTCCTCATCGAAAGCTGATCCATTATAGATTCGTTTAAATGGGAATGCCTTTCCAGCGGTGATTGTTATCAAAATTGCTGCGTCCTTCTATTGTTATTTATTTTGCCCGGCCCTGTCTTCTGTCCTGTCACGCTGTCTCCTCAGTCTCGTTTCAGCTATGGGGTTACCTCTCACAACAACCAATTACTGGTTATTCCTTGAGAGTGAATTGGTCTACCAAAAAGTACTATGATACATAACTCGTCCTCTGCATTTTCTTGTATTCAGGTATCAGTTGGGCGATCGGCAGCCTTGATTTCAAACAAGCTTGTTCCGAAAATGCTTGCTCTGCGCCACGCTCGTGCACTCCACAGCAGATTATTGGTCGATATCTGCTAGTGTCATTAGAGAGCCTATTAAGTCGTGCAAGAGGATCACTAACGACAACCATCAACTGTGGAGTGAATCGGCTCACCCGGAGTAGCATGTTTAAGTCCAATGGGTTAAAAGCACGGGAAATGCATTCGGTGGTTCGTAATGCATGTTATGATTAGTTCGTGTATATATGGGAGTGTATTTGTGCTTATTCAAGTGCGTGGGCTGCCGCAATTCAGTGTAGTCAAAGGTCGCAGCAGTGCCACTCAAGCATTTGACAACTTGAGACGAAAACGTACTTAGGAAAGGTTCTGGGATTCTATGTCGCACAAAGCAGAGCGTGAGCGTTTCTAAGGCTCGGTCATCACGAAGAGCTTAAGTGAAAAAGGCACATTTCTAGCTCTCGTTTGTTTTCTGTCATGATGTGCACAGTATTTCCTCTTCTGGTCAATCAGTGTCGTGCATTCCGAGGGAGATTTACTCTTGTAGAGCAGGACGACATTCATTTTGTCCTCCGTCTGTCTAAAACCCCATCCTAAACGCAACTCAACAATCACGCTGACATTTTCTCTCCTTTTTCACCACTTGTCTTCGTTTTCAACCGCAGTGGATTGAGGCCATCGCTGACTCCATGCGGGCTTCCGCATCCATATCTCAAGCACACTGGCTTTCTCCGGGATCCCAGCCCACTCAAGCTCAGGATGCATTCATGTCATTGGTACAGCAAGTCTATACAGTTCTCCCACTCTCGGTATGTAATGCACTCGTGACAATGTTTTGACTCTCATGGATTCCTCACTTTCGGTTTGTTGTAGAAACAATCTCCCTATTGTTTTGTTTAATCACCTCCGCCCAGTGTTCCATAACTCAACGCGCAAACTGAAACTGGACTAGAACCTCATGCGTGAAGTTTTGGGCACCAACGGTGACGTTCCACCGCGCCACCTTCATTCGAATTGCAACTGACTTTGTCAATCATTTATATTCATTAAGAAGGAAAATTGCTCTTCATAGGTTCAGCCATCATAACTGTCTGCTTTGTTTACAAACTCTACCGAATTCTACATTTCGACAATAGGAATAGGAATAGATTGATTGCTTTTAACAAAACGAATGTCTCTTTTCGAAATTTCCACAATCGGTTGCTAGTCTGTGCTTACTTGAATCACATATTCTATTTATCTTTCGCTTTACAAACCCAACCGAAGAAATTTCCCGTCAAGGTTGAACAGGGGTACATGTTTTGTTTGCGGGTAGGTTTATGATGTTCCTGTTTGATTTACTAGCTGCAACTGGTTGAGTACGTTGCACTTTCGCTTACGGTGGATAGGCTAAACCAGACGTTGGTTGAACGCATTTACCTGTAACACTGTAATGCCAATAATTCCAGATGGACAGCATCAGACTGGTGCTATGATTAGCTACGACACCACTGTTTGCGAAGCTTCTCAACTGATTTCCCTCCCTTCGCCTTTCGTGAACATCAAAACTAAAATACGTAGAAAGGAGCACGTTAAGTTACGTAGTACTTTTGAAGAAACACTGTTCTGCGCCTCTGTAGTGGTAGACGATGGAATAGTTATTCCTTAGATTCGATAGCCTTGATCCAGGAGTAACATGAATCCCGCTGATGGACCGTTACTCCATACAATCTTCTTCAAAGAAATGACGTCTTTGGTTGACTGGGGTTGGCTTTCCGGGATAAATTCCCTGTCGACATCTAAGTTTATTGTGCTAACCGGGGTAATTCATCCTGTGAACGTGTGATCTGTGTGTTTCGAATGTGTCCAACGCTAGTTCCGATGCAGCGTGCAAAAACAAGATTAATTGGCTTACTACTTTCATTTCAACTTGTCGTGATATGTTTTTCGCCGTCTGAGAGAAAATTCTTCACACCCTAGACTCATTATTTTGCTCTAATATTCCCTTTCTTTCGTGTACTACTTAGGATGACGAGCAAAGCGAAAGCGAAGGAGTTGAATATGAAGAGTCTGGGGATCAAATGGAATTCTGATGACGTGTATCCGCGAACCGCACCCCGCGTCCGTGCTTGTACAACTGATCTATGCAACGTTCAAATCCACATGTGTTCTCATTTCCACAGCGCCTTATCGTGTTTCCGCACCCGTGATAATAGCCCGTCTGCCCACCCATTATAAATATTTGGCTCATTCTAACCGGGTCATACTTATTACGATGTCCAAGATTCGATTGTTTTCGGCTTGTTTCTGCCAAAAACGTAATCTTCTGCATGACCTATCTTTCAACCGCCGTCTAAATGTTATGTTTTGTCTACATCCTATCGCCCTTCCTTGGTCTGTGATCTCTTGCATATTATCCACTGCGGCGTCACAGATGGATTATGTCGGAAATTCCACACAGCTATGGGGTATCACGAATTTCCTGACCCCGATGTATGTGTGGTCGCCACACTCACTCTTACCCGATCCCGTCCCACACTCGTGGCGAATAAACGTCAAAACACAGTCAGTTTTCTTTCCACCGCCAAACTTTCATACATTTTTAGTGCCTGTTTTTCTTGTTCTAATCTGATCCAACTCTGTGAGTGGGTCATTCCTGTCTCCAATAGTCATTAGCAGGCGTCTGATCCTGCAAACCCCCTTGCCACCGTGTCACACTTATTCGCTGAATTCCGGTTTTGTTACTATTATTTTTTTAAGCTTCCTGGTCTTTTTCGACTTATCTCCCCCTGCAGAACACCATCTCACTGGTGATTGCTTGTTTCTTTCACTCTCACACTCATGAGCGTCTGTTCTCCCCCATTCCTATTCCGCTACCAGTAACGAGATCAGGTTTGCTCACCCGGGCTTTGCATACCGTCTTTGTTGCTTGTCTCATGACTGATCAAAGCCAAAGTTTGCCGCCACATAGATGCGTATGTGTGTGTGTGTGCTCCACTTCTCCCACCCCTGTTTCTCGTGATATTGGTTGTGTAACGTGATTTGCTTTTTCACTCATCTTTTCAATAGATTAAAGATTCCATACCGTCATGGTTCCATAAGCGAGTTTTCTTCAAGCAGAGCTACATCCTTGTGATTGTGTATTTTCCTTCCAACGGTTGTGAACACGTGTGTCTGTCGGACATTAGGTATGATGCCGGCACAATACATCGCCGTTCACTGACAGATCTGACATCCGATTGGTTCTTGCTTTATATATCATACTATAATAGCTTACTTTTTAAGCGTGATCTTTGGATAGTGGCAACTTTTTCCGAGTGCTCATCACTTGATCAACTATCGATAGGTAACCAAGTCTGGATAACAGTCTCCTACCCTTACAGGTCTATGCTTTATGCATCCTTCGTGTTCTGCGTAATCAGTCATTCCACGTCTTTGTAAATATCAGGGACGGGTTTCGCCAATGTTTCGTTGGACCGGTAACTGGTTCATGGTTTTGTGACACTTCTCTTTTAACGCCCGTGTATAGTCGGTTTTCCATGACCTCGTCTGTTTTCTGCCGTGTGAGTGTTCACCCGTAAGAAACTAATTATTAACAGTAGAACATCGAGGTAGTATAGCTCATCACGCTTCAAACATGGGTGGTTGGTGCGTCCACTTTTGTGAGTACGACGCGAACAGGATGCCGCGTAAACTTGAAGTAAAATAACAAAAATCATAGGGATTGTTTAGCTACAGGCGATGGCGTATCGATAACTCAAGGCGAAGCTGATTTGATGTCTTTTTTCGACATCAATGCTTTTAAGTTAGCAACGGTGAAATACATTCATTTCAGTTTCAATCAACTGAAAAAATAGCTTACCAGAGTGGCCGAGTTTTAAAGCAGAAAAGTGAACCTATCGAATATCAGTTAGTGTGTCACTAAATCCTACTGTCGATGGGTTGGGAGAGCGATTAAAAGTCATTTTGGTCGGGTCCTTGACTTAACGGTTCAGGGGAGGGGCTCAAATCCGATCAAAGTGAGTTTAGAGCCTCTCTCCTCGAAGAACGGCTTTCAAAACCGTACTTCGTCATCACCTTAGGTTTATAGCAATAGGGGGACTGACGGACAGTCATCGATGATTGTGTTCCACATCTGTATTTTCAGCGCCACATTCGTGTGACAACAAGAAGCATGAACTGTGCTGATGCATGGTACTCAGGTGTATTTCACTGGTCTCTACTGATCGATATCGAGTAGATGAATCTTAGCCTTTCAGCTGCAACACCCTTTTGGTGCCAGTTTACTTGTCACCCGAAGGAAGCATAAGGGCTGGAATACTGCCACGTTGCTCATTCCCACACAGCAGCAGTCTAATTTCCGGGTGCTGAGTTTGAACTACGGATCTTCTAGTCCGTAAGATCGCCTACTACTCACGGAGTTCTGAATTGAACAGGATGTTTTCTGTCGTATGGAAGCCAACATCAAATAAGTGGCCGAAGGATTGTCAACGATATGACGAAAGCCTTCCGTTTACAAAGTTTTTGTTCCCAGCTTCAGGTAGGGATTGACTCAGTAGACTATAAAAACTGCAGCTGTTGTAAGCAACATACTGAAACTGATAAGGTTTCGTCGAAAGTCTACTACTATTCGGACAAGATGAGATGGTGGCGTGCTGGCGAGCAGGCCATCAACTTCCAGACTCCAGTCAGACTTGGAAAGCTACTATCGTCTCCAAACATGTACGGTTTATGTATTATCCGGTGTTTCAATGTACATGCAACGCTAGTGTCGTAAACAACTTGGAAGATTACTCAGCGTGGTTCATCAGATGAAGGTACGATCCTTGCGCAAAATAACGTGGGGATTTACCGCCAACAAGGAATGCATTTAACTGTACAAGTTCCAGAAAAGAACGTAAAAGTGCGACATACCAACTGATCATCTGTAGTCTTCAAGCCAATTCATCATCAACTCGAACTTGTACAATATTTGTAAGTGTACTTATCTGATCCAACCTTATCTAGTGTATCCTCTACTTGACTGTCGACGTCTCAAATAAATTATGACAGCTCCCTGCACCTCCAATCGGTTATGTGAATGATACGATAATTACTTTCTGTCAGGCATATAATTACCAATACCGTTTAGCTATTTTTCTAGTGTGTACTCCGTTTTCTAGATTTCTCACACGTGAAACGAATTGCTTCAACACTGCATCATTCAACTACTCACACATTCCAGGATGTCTTATGATTGATCAATTTCGCACACGTTAACAACGGATACACCCAGCGACCGGTGTGATCGCTGCATCGATTGAGACCTTGAGAAACGGGTAATGGTTTTCGGCTTGGCGACAAACGGGTTCATTACGTTTGGATTGTCTGTACACAGTCAGCGCCGTTCGGTGACCATTTTATCTGCTTATTTCATTATGCATTTCTTAAACTTGACGGTGTCCGGGCAAATTCAAATGCTTCCTCGGAAAATATGTATACCTAATCCGTTTATCTACGACTCCTCAGTATAAACGATTTGGTTGAGTGGTTTTTCAAGGCCAACAAATACCTCGACTAAAGAAAGTTCGGTAAAATATAGTATGTCAGCTTCCGGAGAATGTGATTCGATTAAGGAGGACAAATGTTCCGTAGCTACAATGATTTGTGAAAGTTTCTGTAGCTGCGTCATGGTCAACCATGTGTACAGCGCACCCCCCTACTGCAACACAAATACTTCCCAACACTCGCGAAGCTTTTCCAGGATGGAAGACGTCATTTTCCTCAATGAAACTAAACTAGCAGTCACTTACTCAACAGAGCCGGTCGACATTTCCGGTTGTAGTTGTAAGGAACCTTTTCAAATTCATTGGCCCCAAACGGTCGCACTTTAGACGACGGCGCACCGTATTTCTGCACAGGATTGCAGTGTCCAACTCCTCTTCTGTTGGCCGCCGGTTTACAGTCTTTCGTGCAGGAACTGAGTCTTCTGGTGTGTGTGAAGATGATGGTAAGATGTGACTGATAGATTCTTAGACAAAACCGGTGCTTCATGTGCTGTTTGCCGTAAGGAACTAAAGTCGATTTAGTAGCTACTCCCGATTGCTGGCCTCCCACTTGGTTTCGGGATTCGCCTACTGCATTTGAACTACAGCCGTTTGTAACACGAGAGAGCGTTGGTTCTTTGTCGCTTGCTGCGCGGACGAATATCACAGTTGTCATTCGTATATTCGCTTAATACCTTCCCAAATTCTGTGAAGGATTAAAACCGTGCAGTAACAAATTTCTAAAGAAAAGACTCTAAAATCGAGTCCATATATTACCGAATCATGTCAGGCGCGCAAGAAATTGCGAACAAAGATTAATTCAAACAAATTTCAACAAAAGTAAAGCAGATTAGAGTCCTTGTTTAGGGTGTATATTCAGAGAAATGCTACAACCTAACACACAATTTCTCCTGAAGAAAATTGCACATGCCTGCAAAACGTAGTTGAAGTTTCCGCGGGAATCGCAGCTCCCAAACGTAGTAGCCTCTTGTTTACCAAGTTGAGGGGTTGCTTTATTTGAGGCTGGTTTCAAACGCCCCACTGATTAACCAAACAAACGTGTTTGAATACCCACTCAAATAGCATACCTACTGCACCTCGGTGACATATTTTGTCATCATAGCTGTCAGTACATCCCACGTAGTTTCCGCACAAACACACTTCACGCAGAGAGGACATTCCTGATTGGTCGCTGTGTGGTGCGAGCTGGTTAGATGTTTTACTCTTATCAAACAGGTTGCACTTAGGTAGCGCACAACCACCGTCCTACATATTGTGCCTGGGCGTCCCATTGACAGACAAAGCTAAGCCAGTGTGAACAGTTCACTAGCTTTGTAGAAATTTACTTTCCAGGATTGTGAAGTGAGTCTGTCATCTATAGCTAGGTTGCTTTGTACCCAGGAAATAGTTTGGTTTCTTTATAAGTTTCCGATAAGTTGAACCAAGTGAAATCCTGTTTTTAATTCATACCTGAACCAACGGCGTGTTATTTTTTTGAGTAATATGCTTTCCTACTGCTTTTTGCCTCTTAACCGAAGAAGTCGAATTTGGTACTAGATTAAGCCACACAAAAGTCTCTTCTGACGGGCGGGGACATATTCGTCTGCCGCTAGGAAGATAGCATCCCAAGTGCAGCCACCGTGGACTGTTTATATTAGTATCCTGGCGGATGGTCTTGGAGATGTACTAATGCCATACTATATTGCAATACAGTATGAAGTATGAAGTCTTGAAAACGACATTGTTCATCGTTTCCTTCTCCACTTCATCATCATCAGTACCATCATCATCCTCTTGATAAACATTATCAACGGCAGCATCACGTCTACAAAAAAAGAAATCCCTGCATTTTCAAATTAAATCTTTCCCGCCGGTAGTGAGTGTAGTATTCACTCAACAGGCAGAGAGTATTCTCTCGACAAACCCAGAGATAGCGTACCTCACTGCTGTGTAAATGTATTGCATTCATAGACCTGTACAATTTGGAATGAACTCCCGCTTGTTGGTAACAACTCAGGGTACAGCTATATTTCTTCTATAAACTTAATTACCTATTTACGAAATCCGCTGTGCCTACTCGTCTGATGCTGTAAGTGGTGCTGATGCTTTCCGTTGGTGGCCAGTTCTGACGGGATGTGCTGCCATCATAGACAATATTAGGCCTAATGAGTTGGCATATGTTTAGAGCTACGGCTTACCCACCACCCTGAAACTGTTCTCAGGGGCGAGATAGCTCGCTAGATAGAGTATGAATTTAATGACCCTAAGGTCCGCAGTTTGAACCCGATCTCTGCCTTTCGACTTCCCCTGTCTAGGCTTGGGTGACATGACAATATCCCAGCCTTGTGCTTTATTCTGGTGGCATGACAGTTAGGCACCGAAAAGGTGTTACAGCTGAACGATTCTAGTTCCGCGGTTTTCAAGGTTGTTTCTTTCAAGGGCAGTTCACCTCGGTAAAAATTTTCTCCTCAGTGTGACTGATCCTTCCAGGTGATTCTCGGGTGAAGATGGTTGTTAGAAATATATCTGTCGAAAATCCAGTTTTAGTTTGATGTTCACCCACAGGAAGATTGATTGATACAAATGCCCGTTGAAAAGAATACTGTGGTTTCTAATCAATCGAACAATAAGTAATATATTGTACAACAATGTAGCTTGACTTGGAGTTAGACTTAGAGTATGACTACTGTTTTCGTTTTTTCTCAAATATTTG